CATATGTTTCAGACTGAAAACCGTACCAGAAGCTATTCTGCATGAGTTACAAAGTTGATTTAGAGCAGGGTGATCTTGTGTGGATGATGTACTGTATTTACACTGAAACAGAATGTAACATGGAGACATACACAACCCTAACAGATTATTTTCAGGCACTTGATAGAGTTGATAAAGAATGGTCTGGATAATTTTTGAAAAAAAAAAAAAAAAAGATTTCCACATCATCTAATACATGTTATTAAATATATATAAAAGCATAAGACAGATTTAAACTTGGGATATATGTTAAGTGATAACTTTATAGGAATTAAGATGCTAGACACAGATGCAGTCTTTCACCTGCTCCTTTTAATATACATATATATGGAGGAAATACTGTGGGAATGGGATGAAGAGGCAATCTAAGGAATATATGTGGGGGCACAGGGTAAAGGTAAAAGGTAAAGTTGTCCCTGTGCTTAACTAATTAAGCACATGCCATGAAGACATATTGGGGAGTGGATGTATAGATTTTGACCTTGGCACTAGTTGGAGGCGAGTGGTAAGCTTCAAGCCCTGGCCGCTTTACCCTCAGGGAAGAGACCCTGGTACCCATTGGATAGGAGGCTGAGTAGGACCCAGAACCGGTCTGGACGATGTGAAGAAGAGAAAATTCTTGACCCTACCAGGACTCAAACTCTGACCCCTGACATAATATCAACACCAGAGGTAAAAATAATTTTTACCCTTCACAACCAAGGCTGTCTGTCTATAAAAATGGTGTTTATTATATAGGTATAAAGGGATTTAATCACTTACCTCCTTGCATAAAAAAATTGTCTGATAATAAGAATCAATTTAAAAATACTCTAAAAAACAACCTTCTATTGAATTCCTTTTATTCACTGAAGGGTATTTTTAATAGTAATTACTAATTTTAATGTGAATTTTTGAGGTTTTATGTATCATAGGTGCTTTATTTTGGCATAAATATGTTATCATCTACCTTTTGGTATGATGATTTTTTACAATATTAAATTTAAGATGTTATGTTTAATGTTAAAGTAGGGAGATAAACAGTTTGGTTTATTGTTTGATCTGACCTATGCTTATTTTCATAGCATGTGTATTTTAGTTACTTGTCTGTGACTTATTCTATATCCGTCAGGCATATTTGTAGCCTAGATTGGATTAATGGAATTTTACAGTGGAATAACTAAATAAATAAAGTAGCCAGTCGCTATATTGACTACGCTTTGCTGGCTCCTTGTGGGGCACAGGCTGTATGCTAACAAAATTTTTATGCTGATTACCATGTTGTATTGCCAGAAGCTAAGGATGAATTCTAAAGAAACACCTACAAATAATATTATATCTCAGCATCCTGTTGCACTCTACACGATAAATGATACACACTCCGTCCCAAGTGCAAACAATATATATTATGTGTCTTTGATTTTGTTCTCTTCTACACTACATGTTTCGGCCTCTATCGGCCATCATCAGGTGTATACTCTTAACGTTGCTGCCACACTGAAACCCAGTCTAAAATTTAACATTTAAAAACACATTGTTATTTTTTTTTCATATTATCAATATCTACCTCGTTGATATGTGTCTGGTATGTAGATTATATTGCACACGTCAAATTTTCCTGTAGTAGCACTATAAAACCTATAGTTATGATTTTAGAATCCTTTAAAATATTCTCTAAATTTTAAATTTAGAATTTAAAATTGTTAGGGTTACTCGCCATATGTCTAAAGTGCTGGAGCGGTAGTTCTTGTTCCACACTGTACAGGTGTTATCTGTAATATACAAATATTCGTATTATTATTTTACGTACGTAATATTTTCTTTTGTGTTTATTTTGTTATTTGTACTTAGTCTGTGTGGTCTTCCTGTGTGCGTGCCACTGCTTGTCTTTACTACGTGTGCTGTCTGATGTATTGTGTGCTGTGTTTTATGTTAGTGAGTGTAGGGGGGGAATGGGTAGTGGGGAGAGAGAGGTACCGTTAGTCTGTGTAGATTTCGTGTATCGTTTGAAATATGGGATATATAAAATAAGTAAGAAAGGCCTACAAATGAATGATACACACATAGAAACACACAATCTCATATTTCAAACGATACACGAAATCTACACAGACTAACGGTACCTCTCTCTCCCCACTACCCATTCCCCCCCTACACTCACTAACATAAAACACAGCACACAATACATCAGACAGCACACGTAGTAAAGACAAGCAACGGCACGCACACAGGAAGACCACACAGAGTAAGTACAAATAACAAAATAAACACAAAAGAAAATATTACGTACATAAAATAATAATACGAATATTTGTATATTACAGATAACACCTGTACAGTGTGGAACAAGAACTAGCCGCTCCAGCACTTTAGACATAGGGCGAGTAACCCTAACAATTTTAAATTCTAAATTTAAAATTTAAAGAATATTTTAAAGGATTCTAAAATCATAACTAAAGGTTTTATAGTGCTACTACAGGAAAATTTGACGTGTGCAATATAATCTACATACCAGACACACATCAACGAGGTAGATGTTGATAATACGAAAAAAAAAAATAACCATGTGTTTTTAAATGTTAAATTTTAGACTGGGTTTCAGTGTGGCAGCAACGTTAAGAGTATACACCTGATGATGGCCGATAGAGGCCGAAACATGTAGTGTAGAAGAGAACAAGATCAAAGACACATAATATATATTGTTTGCACTTGGGACGGAGTGTGTATCATTTACCTACAAATAAACAAAATGTGTAGAAATGGCATTTTAAAGAAAGAGAACAATTTGATCAGTGAAGTTTCTGAAGCTCAAAGATTATAATACGTGAATCATTATGGTTATTTAGGATGTATATCTCCTTTGAAAATAATGATATAAACAGCAGAGAAACGAAGTACCAAGGGATGTGTGGAACAACATGAATATTAGATAAAAAGGCAACTAAGGAAAATAAATATTCTATAAAGTCTTAGTTGTCTCTGTTCTATTATGTGGTTCGCAGCAATGGAATTTGAGAAAACAAGATGAAATTAAAATTACATTCACAGAAGTGAAATTCCTTCATGCCATGATGGAACGAACAAGTGAGTACAGAATATTAAATCAAGTCTCATAAGAATTATAGATATTTGCAATATTTATAAAATAACAACATACAAAGAAAGCTGGAAAGAACATTGGCGGAGAATAAATTCTGACCATCTTCCAAAACAAGTTTTGATATACTTCTTTTGGCTTATTTTGGACTTCATCCATTGTCTGGTAAGTAAAAGACAAAAAGACAAAAAACCACGACGTTTCGGAGACTGGATCTGTCTCCGTCTTCAGGTGGATAGGGAAGGATAAACCTACTCAGTTGGGCCCTTAGAAAGAGCTAGAAAGAAAAAGCTTTTTGTCTTTTACTTACCAGACGATGGGCGAAGTCCAAAATAAGCCAAAAGAAGTACAGTATACACCATCGTCAGAATCCTTTCAAGTTTCGATATACCAACCAAGAGGAAGAATATGAACTGAAGTTAGGAACGGTTTTTTTTTTCTCTTCTCCATGTCATCCAGACTGGTTCTGTGGCCCACCCAGCCTCTCTTCCAATGGACACCAGGGGTGACCAGGGCGGGAAGCTGATCACTCATCTTCAACTATTGCTGAGGTCTAGAAAACAAGGATCTACACATCCACTCCCTTGCACGTCTTCCTTGCGGCGTAGTGCTCAATTAATTAAGCACAGGGACAACTTTACCTTCACCTTTAATCCCTGGATCTAGATAACGATAGTTTCATTGCATCTGAGCAGATTAGAAGTTAAAAGAGAAAGGAGAGGAATTTTTGTCTTTATCATGTGACAATGCTGATGTATTAACGTGGCTCAAAATTGAACTAACTTAAAAAGTTGCACTGTAAATCTTTTGTTCAAGTAATTAATCACAATCTGAATCCAGGACTGAGTCTTTTCATGTGAATAGTCATGTTTTAGATAATAAGTTATATTCAATTTTTTGCAAATGCTCAGAGAAATTTGTAGCTTCTATATATTCCCTGCTTTGATCCTGAACCAACTGGCCCATCAACATGTTTGTTTCTTACAATACAGACTACAGGGTCAAATTCAGAATATGATGAACACTTACTGGTACTTATGAGTAGCTTCATGACATTATTCACAAATCTGTTGTAATTTAATGTTATAAATTATGTGAAGAAGTATTTATATACCATACCAAGAATGAAAATTAGGGATTCATCCTAGTCCAAGTCAATAATACGGAAGCCAAACTTAAATGGTCTGTCTCGAATTATGTGGTCATCTTTAAGTGGGCAAGAATCACAAATGATACACATTTTTTTTATCCTCTCCAGATATACTGGGAGGGAATCTGAGCCCTTTGATGTTTAGTAGTTTGTTTCATGTGAAGCCATTTTCAGTGAGATCCCTATACAGCACAATATTTATTCAAAATTCACAGGTTATCATGAACTACAACATAAAATATGTCAAACAATCTATGAGACAAAAAAGTTAATTTCAAAAATTAATTAATTCCCAAGGGATTAAAATATGCCACAACTGCTTTGTTCTGCATCTTCCCCAATTTGCCATCATTCTGACCTCTTACTTCATACAAGATATGATAAAGGATCACCAAGTAAACCAATAAAAAGGAAGCAAAACTTAGCTGTTTCCTTTGTCACCTAATTTACAGTACCTTAACCAATTTGAAACCCATGCTTCTGTGTTCTCCTAAATGTGAAAGTGATGCCAACATGTATATGAGCACACTGCAACTTCTGAGTTATTACATCATGTTGCCTGGTAGATGGGTAATAATGTTTCAGAGAAACATCATGCCTCTTTTACCAACCTACCAGTACACACAGTGTCATTACCCACAAGACTGCAGTTTGGGTCTTCACTACTGTGAAATCTGAGAGACAGAATAGCAATTTTCTCACATGGTGCGGTTGACTGGACTCAATTAAAATTAGTAACACTTTACACACTTCTGTATTTAAAGCAACTTTGTTTACAATTATGCTGTTTTAACACAGATACCAATTTGACAGAAAGCTGGATGGGCCTAGGGGCATTCCAGGTATGATTATGAAAACAAAAATTGCATTAAATACGGGGCTTTCACAGATGGAGACAGTAGGCTTTGGAACCCTTCTACCAGACTACATGGCTACCACAGCCTAGAAGACCACAATCTTAGAAATTGCATGCTCTTTCCTGAAGTAAAATTCTGGTCATCCAGCTCATGTCTAGTCACTGACCTATGTTATTTGCAAATAAGGTAATAAAATACTGTACATAAGAGAAGTTCTTGCGTTTCATTCGATTGCTGCAAGTTGTATTTAATTGTGTTAAGATAATGCAAACTATTAAACATAGAATTGTATGTAATTAGCTGCAGAATATTTTCTAAGAAACATGGATCACAGACAGCATTGCAAACACAATGTTGGCTTTACTTTAAGCCAGATAATAAAAATGACCACCATCTATGCTGTGATTGTCAAGACATGCATCCCCTATTCAATTTCATGTAAGGTCACGTTGCCCAACAACATCAGTCTTCAGATGCTGGGACAATAATAACAGGTGCATCTGTCCAATTAGCAACTTTTTTCTTTAGTTCAAACTTACAGCAAACTGGCACTGTGTTTACACATTTAATTAATAACATGTCAACATAAATGTATAGTGATTTGCTTGGTCCACATGACAGAGAAACAATATACTAATCTAGAATGAAATAACATTACAAGCACCTGGTTCCAATCATTTCCTAACAGTACAAGAAAACACAAAGGAACAAGATGGCCACACTGCACAGTTACTTTGACATCACTAATCTGCAGTATTTAGTATCTTGTGAACACACCATATAATTTCTTATGTCTCATAAACACATAGCACTGTTCAAGTATTCATGAATGACATTAACATGTGAAAATGATCTCCATGATAAGAATAGCAAATATTAAAATACTTATATATAAAACAATTCCACTATATTTTACATGTGCAAAATTCTTTCACTGTGAGGGAAGACAAGAATTGAGGACTTTTTAAAAACAAAGCACAGCTGAAAATACTAAGACCTAAATACTTAAAATGTTTAAATGGTATTTACTTATTTGTAGTTTAATGCCAGACAAAGTCTTTAGCAGCATATGCCACTTTTAATAATTACCTTATACCTCTGTATGCAGTTAATGAAAACTACAAAATTATAGGCTCCACATTTTATAACCTTGACACTGTTGTAAGAGTGGTTAAATTAAGTGGAACTGAGAAGGAAAAAATAAAGTTTTCCCTGTGCCTAAGCACCACACCATAAGAGAGGAAGTGGAGGCACAGTGCCATGCATTCTTAGCCCGAGTTTTAGATGGAGGTCAAACTTCAAACCCCAGTATCCATTTTGGAGGAGGTTGGGTAGTTCCCAGAATTGAATTGGACATAGCAGCAAAAACAAGAAAGAATTTCTGAGACCAAGGTACATATGGGAGATGTGTCTCTGGGAAATATGGTGTAAACAGATAACTGGACTGAATTGAACAAGAATAAGGTATAATGATGGCTTCTTATGATAAACCTTAGGGTTGTATTACTAGACAATTTACTGGTTACAAAAACTGCATACAGAGACATATGGTTCTATTAAAAGTGGCAAGTACTGTAGAGGGCTTTATGTACTGATATGATAAGAAGTGCCATAGAGAACTGTGATTATGTTCAGGAAGCTTATATCTGAAACCATGACAAGTCTGTGAAGTCATTTGAATAAGAGGGCTAAGGGGTAACAGTGATGGAAGAACTGATATGCAGAATGAAGACCTAAACCCCGTGAAAAGTTTAACAAATTTATACCTCCACTGTCACAGCAACAAAGGAACCAGGAGCTTGTACTACGAACTGCATGACATGGATTAAAGTGCCCAGAAACACTCACCATAGTAAGCACCCTTGTCCTAACAATGAAATTCTACAGGCCCCCACCCCACAGGTGGGAAAATCATTCTGTACACTCTAATAGATAACTTACACTCACACACTCTCACTGCTACATATGAGTAATACAGTTGAAGTAACAAACATGAATATACAGAGATACAACATTTCTGGACAATGGTGGCCCAATGAAAAAGTCAGAAATATTAAATAGTTATTATATTTTTCATTAATAAGCGTAAATAGTTGTTAAAATCTCCCATGAAAGGAAGGGTGAAGGAGAAGAGGAGTGATCAAATATATATATATATATATATACACATCTGACATTTCTCATCTGTTTGTGCAATGGCACTAAATCTGCAGTGGCTTCCACAATTTGCATTCAAGGCATGTTCAGAAATTTAGAACAGAAATTCTACATTTATTCTAGCTGTCACAGTTAAACTGTTTAATCTGGTGAACTTGGGAACTGACCACAGCTGAACCAGAAAGTTTTCTGGACTGTGGGAGATAATCATATCCCACTTATCTCTTTGACAAATTGTATTACATGAATAGTATACATGTAATATATACCTAATATACACTAATGTATGCAGCTGGTTTGTTGTATGTATAACATCATCTCAACATGATGTTGCTTGATAGTTCTTGTAATGGTATCTGTGATTAGTTTCAGGCTTAATTCTTTTCAAATTCTCAGGAATATATAACTATCTCTATGAAGGAGAGTTCATGAGAAGTCAATAGTGGCCAACTAATAATAAAGGAAATTCCCTTTTACAGGACCCAAAGGTTCATTATCATATACATAAAAACCTGCCAATTGACCCTGTCCTGAGCTAGGCCAATCCAGTCATCATCATCAAACGCCATTTTTCCTCAAGTCAAATTTAATATTATGCTCAGACAGGCCTCAGAATGTTCTCTTCAGGTTCTTTCAGTGAAATTTTATATGCACTTTTCAACTCTTTCATGCATGCCACATGCCCCAATTGTTCTGCATTTTCAAAGAGTTAGCCTTGACAGCAAGCAGAGAGTCGTGTTCCCCTACTTGCTCCTTCCATGTACAACTTACTCTTCAACCCCGAATATGGAGGTAGTAAAATCCCCAGAAACATCAGTAAACACCAATCAGATGACATCAAGTGTCATCCAAGATGACAGCATTCTTCAAACAGCATATCAGATGGCCTTAACTCCCTCAGGACAGTGTCCAGCAGCAAGTTTTTATGGTGATGATGGTGAAGCTGCAGGTTTCATCATAACAAAGAAAACCTATTGACTGCCCAGGGAGTCAAAATCATATACCCTATATTCTGTACAGTTATAAATTAATTACACCCTGAATGCACACACCTGCAGACTATGAGATTGAAGAAGTCTGTTGCTTCACATTCTGAACCTGAATTTTGGTTCATGTCACAATGCCTCCTCTTCATAATGTGAGAGCCACTACCCAGGAGGACAAGGTGTGACAGTAATATTGCTAAGGGAAGAATACTTCAGAACATCAACATGGTGGAGAGGTTTCATCATCACAGGAAAGAGAAATGTATAAAACTTTGCTCCTGCCAACATCTAACAATTTTGAAAAGAAGAAAACTTTGTGTCTGGGGATAGGCATTTCTTGTTAAATCATGATACAAGTCTTGAAGAGCAAATGTGCTGGATATAAGAGTTACTATGCTCATTTGAGACAGGAACTGTACATCTGACACTTAGACACAAGCACATACCCATTCACTCTGTAGTGCAATGAATAAGACAAGGATGATTCCCACAGAATTAAAACTTAGCATCATAAAGCCAATATTTCAAGACAGTAATCAAGTATTAACATAAACTTTTCTCTAGCTTTGTTGAACTATCATAATAAAAAATTGAAGCCAATGTTCAAACTCTTGGCTCTTCATTAAATGTCTAAAGAATACAACATACATGCTGCCAAATATATTCTGCATGGGCAGAGCACTCAGCAGCCAATCTTGCGTGCTTCAAGTCTAAGATCAATGTACACATAAACACTCTCAGGCATCATGTTAATATGCTACATATGGAGGTTGTATCTGATGATGTACAAGTATACTAGACTGAATAAAGCCATTGTATAAGGTCTGAATTTTCCATCTGTAAACATGCTGACAAACATGGAGCACACGACTGCCTGTTACTGTTTGTTATTACTGTATAAGAACATGAAATAAGATGAGCCATGGGGGACTCTAGAAATGAGGAAGTGTATCAAAGCTTCTGGTAGAAAATACAGAAGAGTTCCTCATATTTAAACCACAGGGAAATACAGACCACTTGGGCCTAACCAAAATCACTCTCAGTGAACATCTGTAGAATGGTCAAAAATAGTCAATGTTCAGGTCCGATCTATTTCATCAACATATCAATCAGTTGTTGTAATAATAATATTAATTATAATAATTCAGTGAGCAGTGAACATGTTCATTCTACAATTTCCTATCAATATCTGCTGAGATTGATTACCTCTATAGATACAACATTAGGAGATAACAGTCAGTCAGGAATGGGCAAATTATTGTTACTGTCACTATGTTTAAGTGACTTGTATTATAGACTAATTGTGGAGGATCAGAATACACATGTCCATGTAGATCTGAGGCATCTTACAAGACCTCTGTGGGCTTTCCTCTGAGAACTGCAGAATTCTGTGGGTTTCACTCTGTTTAATATAAAATCAGTGCTCACAAATATATATTTTTATCAGCATATCAATGAACAGTGTATAGAGTTCACTGCACTTCAGAGTTAGATGTGATTCAAAATGCCCAGCCCCTCTATTTCACACATACAAAAAAAAAAAAAACATGAAAAAAGAGGCAGTATATGCCTTATTTTAAAAATCAGTTTTCTGTAACGTAACATAACATACATACACCACAGAGAGGTAGATCATTCCAACATATATTAATATCACGAACATCAGCCATATAATATGTCAACAGTTTTATCCTTGCAATGTTGAATTTTGATGCTACATGGTGGGAGCATTGTGATCAAAATAATTTCCCTTTAATAACGAGACACTGACAGGTGACCATGACGGGAAACCTGAATAAGCTATAGGAATAAAAGAAACGTGTTTTTAGTAACCACAGCTCCAAAAATATTTCTTTCAACAGGAAAAGTTTGCATACGCAACCATGGTCCCAGGAAAAGATGGGTTGAATTTATATATGCCATTACAAAAAGTTTCTTACAGATAGAGAAAACTTGTTCAAGTAATTGTTATTGCAGAAAAGTGGTCATAGAGATTTGTTTCAAAATAGACTTAAGGCTAGAATGGCATTCATCCCTTCAAGAGCAGATCAACTGTACTTCACCTCAAAATTGAATCCGATGCACTTCAGCAAAGCATGATATACACAAATAAACATAATTTTAAATAACTAGCACCAGTGAACATAAGAGAAAAAGTGGTAGGACATACAGATTATCATCATTGCTAACCACAGTTAATTGGTTTTGTCACAAGATTATTTTCGCATATAGTTTCAATATTTACCGAGTTTACTTCATAATATCTGTTCTTTTCTCTCAACCATCACTCAATTCACACTGCTATGAAATCTAATAAATAGTGAGGAGAAGATGACTGATATATTTTTGTACTTTCTCAAGTTTTCTTTGGCATTCATAAATACCTGAAATTTTAATATAGGTGCACAAAACAATTATGACGTGGGATTTCCATGGAATGTTATTTCAACAATGGCCATAGAACTACATGAGATAAACATTATGATATTGAAACTGAAGTTAAGATATATGTTACAGAATTAACAGTTACTGTAATTACTTGTAAATATTTTATAACTCATCATCCCCTACCATTTAGTCAAGTTTAACCTTTACTGCCTCAAAATGGGGGACGTTAAATCTCCTGGTACAATGAAGCATTGGCCATGCATTGACTTGGAGGTATGAGTATGAGAATTGAAAAAAATGCAATGGCCAGCCTCCTGAACATGCACATGCACTGGTACAATAGTGTTATGCACAGCTGATAAAGGTTAATAAAATTTGGCATAAAAATCAAGCTGTTTGAGCCACCATGATGCAGCCATCATAAATCCCTTATACTTCTGATGGAAGAAAAATTAGTTCCAAAAAATACATACACTTATTTCTATAGACTGTCTCCTCTTATCAAGCTTGAATGAAATAACCAGGGTTGATAACTCTGTAGCTTGCAGTCAAACATGACATATCTTAAGTCTACGGAATTACATATGATCTTTACAATTCATGAACCAATGCAGCAGAAATCTGCCAAAATTATAAGACATCATATAAATTAATTTGTTCTGTCTTCAAAGAAGTATAAATACATTTTCAAACAAACTGCTCTGATAGTAAGTACTGCATGTCAATAGTGAGGCGATAACAAGGTGTGGGTTGGTGCATGGGATATGAACAACAAATGCCTTGCATATGCAAGACAGAAGACAACTTGTAACAATGCAACAAGTTAGAAAAGTTGTTCTAACACACATCACTAGTAAAAAACAGATTCTTTTTAAAGATATAACAACAGGAAAACAGGTTTAACAGTATAAGGCCAAGTGTGGCTGTCAGCAGGTGGGGCAGGAAGTATTGCTTTGCAAGAGCACGACAATGGGAGAAACAACAACAAATATCGGGAATATATTGTTGACAGTAGGCCCCATGTGTAAACGACTTTTTTTAATCACATTCGAGATACTCACTGACTAGAGTTTGTACATTGTTTCAAGAAAGAATGCCAACTTCCAACAATTCAAACAAGACATTACTTCTTATCCATTAATAATTTGGTCCCCACAGTGATAAAAATTCCTTAATCTATTATCTTACAGGAACACAATGACAAACTGAATCTTGATTGCACAAGTAAACAGTTTAATAACACAAAAAGTAATGCTGGCACCCCTTCCTTCTCTGCAACATCAGTCACTGAGTGCTATGATGTCTCATCATAAATCATAACTTTCAAACTTCATCATCCATAGTTAGATATAATGAGACCCTGTGGCCCAACCATTAGCGGTACAATTGGCTATTTTCCAGTGTTAAGTATTGTATAAATGCCATGACTTTTCAGCTTCAGATGAGCACAACTGGAAACACATTTAAAAAATGTGCCGAACACATTAAAATAAATTCAAGGCACAGGAAGAACACTGGAGGTTAAGCTGCCACGCGTGTCTTCCCAGTTGTACTGACAATGTGTCATTTTGAATGTCCTAAATACTGCTCTCTGTACAATTAAAATGATGAAACATGGCACAGCCTGACAGACTACAGTCTGACACTAACACAGGTACATTATCACTGGCCTTGCTGCAAGCTAGCTTGACCATCTTGATTTCTCTGTCCAGTACCTTTCACTTACCAGTGGGCTGTACACTTCCTTAACCTGGATTTAGCCAAATGCCAGTTGTGATAATATACTGGCTGGTCTAGCCTGTCACACACTTCAGGGAGAACTGATGGAATGGTGACTGATGGCACTTGGGGAAACATCAGTTACAAAGTCACCTTCTCCATCAAAAATCTCACATGGTACTGAACCCAGACCTCTGCAGTGAGAAAGGGGCATCTAACCACCAGAATTATTGCACAGTGGTCATTTATACTGCATAAAAGAAACAGGTTCAGCTATAAAACTCCAGTTGCTGATGGAGCAGCATCTTTTGGACATTATTGCTTATGCTGTGGGTGTTTGTCATAGGAGAGTTTTCAACCCACAAACGAGAGTTCTGTACCAAAATGCATTAACTGAACTAGTGAAAACACTACCAAATAAGTGAGAGACAGGACTGTGCTCAAATAAGGTGGAGACAGCACTTTTACCTGCAAAACTGGGCTTCCTATATCTCTGTTTTGATTTTACATACACTTGACTCTATTGTTTCAAGGCTCCATGTTCCCAGCACTAATTCACCTATTTGCTAACATGAACCTGAACCTAGCTCCTGCTTGTGGTTGGTCAGTGTAAGCAAGGTGTGAGAGCCTCGCTTACACACTCTTGGATCACATGGTGAGGTCCTTGACAGCCTGCAGTATCCTCTTCACATGTCCAACCTTGGTGACACCAAGTTCCTTCAGGTCACGGCGTCCTAAAGTCAGGAGTTCGCGTCCACGTATGTCATGACATGTAAAGCTTTCTGCATACTCTGACAACTGGAGTGTTTCCAGCCATGTTGCCACCTCAGTTACACCCCAAGTGGCAACGTCACGTGCAGTTCTGCTGCTACCTCCACCGCCACGACGAAACTTCAGCCAGGACAGTCCACGAGCACGGCCCTTCCGTTCACTGCAACCCTGCATTCACAAGGAAATATCAGCATCCTGAACTGGTGGTTTATAAGAAGAATTAATCAATTAATGCACTCATCAATTGTATAAATCCCATTTGATGAATGAAACCATAAAAGAAATCCAGTCAGGCTGTACACAGCTGTCCAAACTATGGGAAGTCTCAGGACTAGAAAGATAAGCATAACACTGTCATATAATTGTGAAGTTTTCATGGCAACTAAATACAAAGAATTCTTCTTGGGTGATTAGTGTCTCTACCTTCACTAGGATCACACATTACATCAGTCTCTGATGATGAAGACTGACAGCCTCTGGTGTGCCAGACTTTTATTCTGTATCAATGTGGCTAATAGCCTAAGAAGATATTATTTCATAAATACCACCAGCCTTGGACTGAAATAAACACTAAACACCTTAAATATGTTTGGCAAAAAGCCACTTCTCTTAACAAATGAATTAATAAAATAATTATTTAGGGTTAAAGAACTAACATTAAAATTAACATTAACATGAAAGACCTTATACAAACTGAAGCACTTCCTCCTCTATGTATTTTACAATTTGGTTTCTCTTCATGCAGTACTGTTGTCAGTTTAAAAGTTATTTTAGGCTTAAGATAACAAGTACTGCAAATTAAACTTAATTGTATGAGAGAAAAGGATTTGAATCCCAAGATCTGGTAATCAGATTTTAACAGTAATTACTTGCCCCTTACATCTACTATGTAATATTTTGAGAGTTGCCCATTGTTTTCAATTATGTACTGGATTGGTTCAAAGCATGTATGCTATGTATTCCTGTCTCAATGTTGAGTAGATTTCTCTATTCAACATACAGTACTCAGATTATCTCTACTAGACAAGGGAGGGGAACAGAGGTTGTGTTAATGATACCTTCATGGACTGCAAAGTGTAAACAGGCTGGAAAGTAAAACTGAAAATACAGTCCATGCAAACATTTAGCAGAAACTGGTAACAGCTAATTAGAAATAGCTTATTATAACAAAAATACTAGAAAAAATTTATTTTGTGATGTTTTTCTATATATGTAACATTTAAGAAACTGAAAAGTGACAATGATTTTCCTCACTGTGCTAATGTTCTCATTATAAGCTATACTCAATATACAGAGTGTCCCAGGAGGAATGTGCCAGACTTCGGGAGGGTGTTCCTTATGTTAAAGTATGCCTATATGACCCAAAACACCTATGTCCAAAGTTGAACAGTTACGGAGATAATGGCCAGAGAAGTGTGAAACTTTGACAGGTGTTACACACTTGTTGATTACCAAATACATATTAAAACTGGCAGGAATATGTGGTTTCTGTAATGTTAATAATGTATGTAACATCAAACTAACTTTTGAGTGTCATGAAGCCATTAAACTGAACTACAAAAAAACTAGCACGTCATGTCATAGTTGTCCTTAGGTTTCCAAGCCCTATACATGACACATGTATGGCAAGTGCTGACGTAACATGGCTGACTGTGCATTCTGGTATAAGCCAACGACATAACTACTAAAATACACCGTCCCAGGTAAAAGACACCTCATCACTGAATAAAATGATGCTTAACAGTTCGGGATGAGCTTTTATCCAGTGGCACAAATACATATGCTGAGCAGGGTTGCCTGGTTCCAGATGTTGTACCCTTTGATCATGGTAAGGATACAACTCTTCATCATGTAAAGTTCGCCATACCTGCATGATATGCCGATGTGAGAGGCCATTCTACGAGTGGACAGACATAGACTTCTCTGAACCATCTCAAGAATGTTCTCTCGTGTGTTTCTCATTCGTACATCCTCCTTTTCAGAGTGCACAGAAACACTCGGAAGAGAACCAGTATGCAATGTCTGGTGAATTCATGTAAATACACTTCGAGATGGAATCCTTTGATTGGGAAAACGCCTTTGGTATTCTTCAACAGCAGCACGTGCATTGCCACCGCAAAATCCATACACAAAATGCATATCACAATATTCCATGTGTGAAAGCACAAAAGGCATTTCAGCAACTCCGCACAACTAATTTACCACCCATTCACAACGCGGCCGCAACCTACCCTGAAGGTAGTACATAAGCTTACGGCTAATGTGAATCACCACACTAAAGGACAAACATAGATAAGACTTGTCAGCTGACAGGTACAGTGCATGGACTGGCCAGAAGACCACACTTTTCTCGGGCTATTATTTCCGTAACTGTTCAACTTTGGACATAGGTGTTTTGGGTTATTTCGGCATACTTTAACATAAGGAACACCCTCCCAAAGTCTGGCATATTCCTCCTGGGACACCCTGAAGAACAATTACACTGTACATTAAACTGCTGTTATGAACTCACAGGTTCATGACCATGACAAGAGACAGCTACTGAATCCTGCCCTGAGCCATCTATTTCTAGTCTGTCAAATAACCTTCTGCACAAGATTTTGCATTCAAAATCGTTTTTTTTTGTGTCTCATGTATGTTTCATCTTCTGCACATCTCTAACTCTGTTATTTAAATACCCTAACAGAACTCGATTAGGACTAAAAACTGCAAAGAATCATCATTATAAACGTTCACATGACCCTGTTATTCTCTATTTCTCTCAGATCTAAAACCCTGGGCATTTATTATCAAGTATGAGCAATCAATATTCTAACTCTAGGGTAACAGAAGCTGAAAATTTAATACCACAAATCAAAATAACAGCCACTGGACAAGACTCTGAGCCAGTTTAATGCAGTTTACATGCTTAAAATGTATTTCCTTGAGATCCATTTCAATATTATTCCCCTATCTCTGTCTGCCTCTGTCAAATATTCTGTTCCGTGAGGTTTCACAACCCAAATTCTTTTGTGTAAAGTAACACAAGAAATGACAATAAATCCACATACCTCTTAATTTTTTATGCATCTGCTATGAAAAATTGCTAAAATGTGCCTATTGACTTTGTTATATCTGTCCATCAGTCTGTCTGTCCACAACACAGGAAGTGATGAACACATTTTCACAACATTTTAAATTGGGGAGTTTTATTAAAATATGTTGAAATATTCTAATTTTGGTTAAAATCAGACAACAATGGATAATTTACATGAACACCTACATGCATTTCTGAAAGCATCTTCAGCATAATACACGGTTTAATGGAGCAAAAGGTATTAAAAAACTACAGAAAAATGAAACACACACTTTATGCCCAATAAGCTTTATCTGTAAGTTTCTGAGACAAAGGGATTTCTGTGCTGGGTCATCTAATAATTTGAGAACCTTGGACTGATTCTAATGAACTCCTATTTTGCTGGTACTTGTGCAAACTTGTTGAACCTTCTCAAATTTCATAAACATCAATACAATAAATACAATACTTTATACAAGATCCAATGAATGGATTTGTAGGCCTTACAATTGGTGACCAAAAAGTCTATAGTTTCTTACTAAAATACAAGCCTAACTTCAAAAATGCTTCATTTTACTGTACTTCAAGCAGAATAATAATAGTTTTTGTAAGAAAACAAAATAAAATTGCCCTGATAAATATTCAAATCCTGACAGTCATATATCTGACAGTCTTTATGATATAGAATGAATACTGGCATTATATGTCCAGTCTACTCTGCATATTGTTACCTGCTCTTCAGACACAGGCTGCTGGAATTGCACAAGACCTGCACTGTCATATGTCACACATTTGCGTAGTTCCATCTCTATGTTGCACAGAGCTGCACTCAGTTTGCCTTCCAGATCCTCTCTCAGCCTCTGCAATCACAACATAAAGATGTAGCATAGCATAAAAATGTTTACAATGTGAGGAAGACGAAAGGCAGCTAAGATAATTATTAACTTAATATTAAAGAAAATAATGAATAACCGAAAAAAGGAATATAATTCAAATATACAGATGTAAAAAACACAGAAACAATAAGCACAGGACGTTGACAAGAGTAGTGAGCTAGAAATAAATGTATAAATATTGTGAAAAATCATTTATGATCACCAGAATACAGGAAACTATCACAATACAGTGAAAATTCCTACATAAGGCATTTTTTAGGGGCAGTGGATTTGAACACTAACTAAGGAAGCTCTTAAATTAAGGTAATTTAACACAGCAATTACTGCTTGGGATCACTGAAACTGAATGTTAAATGAGGACAAATCTTTAATCAAGAACACTAAATGAAGTTTTAGAGTGACTAATCCTCTGAAAACAATGCAAATTTCACAACTTGAAAATGACATAAGTCTGAATGACAATCATAATGAAATTAAGAGAATACTAAATTTGGGAAACGCTTGCTAGCATTCAATTCAGAAATTTTTATTTCCAATCTGCTACCTACAGTCTAAAGATTAGAATATTCAAAATGTATTATTTGAGGTTTCCACAGTAGTGGCTGTGAAGAGTTCTATCTTGTGGGATGTAATGCCATGTAATCTGTTGAAAGTTGACCAACGTTTCAGAGGAATATGTCACCTACATCTTCAGGGTTGAAGAGTAAGTCAAGCAAGAAACCAGCATGAAGCAAGCAGCAAGCACAGCTCTGCCATAATTCTCAAATGACTATAGTTAGTGCCTCGTAACTTTAGCCGTGCAGAAAGGTAAATGATGTTGTGGTGCACGCTTGCTGTACGCTTGCTGTGGTGATGTTCAGAGCTACTCCCTGAGCGGAAAACATTGCCTACAGAGACCAGGAGTAGATACCGCAGAATCGATACACCTGACCAGACTCCAAGACGCTACATTGCAAACTGGTAGTACCCACGCTGATGTAAGCCGATAAGACTGCTCTCCCAGCTCAGCGAGAGATGGTACGAACCCCTCTACCATGGCTAGAGTTCCGAGGAACTAACAGTACATGGTGTTACATTCCATAGTATAAAACTCTTCAAAACATTCAAAATTTGAATTTCAGTTTTCCTTTATATGAATACAAAACTTGGTCGCTCACTCCAAACGTAGAACATATAATGTGAGTATCTGAGAATAAAGTACTGAAAGAGAACCTGTATTTGGATGTTCAGGATAGGTTACTGTTGTAATTGCACTGTACGAGGTGTATTGGAAAGTTCCAACCCTAGGTCAAGGAAAAAAACTGGTTTTTCTTACTAAATTTTGGCTGCCATCTCCTTCAAAATATTCTCCTTGGGAATATATACAGCGATCCCATCGTTTTTTCCAAGCTTCAAAAGCACCATGGAAGTAATTTTCCTTAATGCTGTTGAGTACTGCTTGTAATTCCCTGTGGGAATATCCCACATACTAACACGCTGTTTCGCCAGTCTAACAGACAGCACTCAACTCCTAGTCAATATCACATTGCTGCCAATGCTAGTATTTATACAGCACTTGCTGTCCAGACCACCTTTACATCATAGCGCGGGCTAGCCAATCAGCACTCAAACTTGCAACTGCAAGTTTAAGCTCCACCCAGCAAGCATGGTATAAAAGGCGGAGCCCAAAGCTTGCAATCATCAGTGATCACATTCAGTTCAGAATGATCAGTCATCAGTCATCAGCTGTTTACTGCACCAAAGACAGCTGCCGCAACTCTCCAGCAATCATGCTCTGTGATCAGGCAGCTAACGTAGTTGCCGCAACTCTCCAGCAACCATGCTCTGCTACCAGACAGCTAATATAGCTGCCGCAACTTTCCATCCTGCACCATAGGCAGCTGTTCCTACCAGCGCACGCAGCACCACATCACCGGCCAGACAAACCAGCTGAACGGCCATAAAGACTTGGTCTACTACAAAGGAGAAAATTCTGCCAGCACACTCACGACAGAACAAACTGCCCTTTTGAGGGCCAGCCAACTTTTGAACATCGACATTCCACATAGCTTCGCAGCTATTCTGTACATTCAATTTATACAATTTAATATATACAATTGTTACAGTTTTACGTTGTTGTCTTTTAGAACATTGATAATCCCACATCCCTATGGATGTCAGACACTGCTTCATAACATTGTCCTTTCAGTTTCATTTTCAATTTGGGAAACAAAGCGAAATCACAAGAGGCTAAGTCTGGTGAGTAGGGAGGATGGGGAACGATAACCATGTTGTTGTTAGTCACAAACTCTGTGGTTTTCAGGGACGTGTGAGTGGGTGCATTGTTGTGATGAAGGAGCCAGTTGTGGTTGCACCGAAGTTCTGGTCTCTTTCGTCAAACATTTTCTTTCAAGCATCTCAAACATCACAGTAAAAGTCAGAGTTGACCATAGTGTTAGTAGGAACAAATTCATGGTGAGCAATCCCCTTCACACTGGAAAAAAACAATGAGCATGCTCTTCGTTGAACTCCTGACCTGCTGCATCTTCTTTGCTTTTGGTGATTGTGGGCTCTTCCATTGAGATGATTGTTGCTTTGTTACTGGATCATAACCATAAATCCAACTTTCATCACCTGTTATGATCCTACAGAAAAAAGCTGTGTTCTCATTAGCCTTCTGTCATAGCTCCAGACACATGTTTATGCACTGCTGTTTTTGATCATTTATCAAGAGTTGGGGAACAAACTTTGCAGCAATGAGGCACATGTTAAAATTTTCTATTAACATCTCCTGGCAAACTCCATAACTGATCCCAGCGGTGTCTGTGAGCTCATGGATTGTTTGGTGATGGTCTTTGTGGACGAATTCTCAAATTTTTTCAACATTTTCTGTTGTTTTGCTGGTGCTTAGTTACCCTGAACGTTCGTCATATTGAACGGATATTCAAACAGCCTTGAAATGTGAATTCCATTCAAAAACCGCTGTCTGGCTTAAAGAATGTTCTCCAAAATCCTCACGAAGGATTTCAAGGGTTTTGGTAGCAGATTTACCAATCTTCACACAAAATTTGATGCAGATACATTGCTGGATTTTGCCATCCATTGCAGACAAAATGAAACACTGAAGTTGAAAAAGCACCCGCATAAAAACAATGTGTGTTCACAGTGTGGTGTCACATGGCAGACTGATACAATAGGCTTGCAGAAGTGTGACCTTTGCCTCCCCTTTCATCTTCTTTCACTGAGGCAGTTACAACAACAACAACAACAGTCTGGGAACTTTCTGATAGCACCTCCATATAGTAGGTTAATGCATGCTATCCAAGTGCAGAACACAGGAGAAATAAATATTTCGGACTTTGTCTATCGTCTGGATATAACTAAGTTATTTATTTATTACTTAGTTATTTAGAATCTATCATCTGGATTCTAAATAACTAAGTTATTTATTTATTACTTCGTTATTTAGAATCTGGATGATGGACAAAGTCCAAAAACCTAGTATCTCTGTGTGTTATACACCATCAACAGAACCCTATACAGGGTGGGCCAGACTCAATTAGGCAGTTTTTATCATTAATAACTAACCAATACAACAACACATAGGATAATGGGAAAGTACCTTTTGTTGTCGATAGATGGCAGCATCATATGGTATGCTGCAAACGAGGTCAATACTCTTCCTACTTAGTGCGCATCGAGGAAACGTCATGGCCGGTAGACGGTTGTCTATCGAGCAGCGTGTAAAATGTGTGCGCCTTTTCTCAGTTACCAACAATGTATCAGAAGTCCAGCACAGGATGTTGGAAGAGTTTGGACCGCCAGCAGTCCACAGGGACACAATCGTCCGAATAAACAAGCAGTTTGATGAAACCGCCAGTGCTTTGAATCCCAAGCATCCTGGTCAGCCTATAACTGTCCGAACTGCTGACACACAAGCACGTGTTGCTGCAGAACTGGCATCATCTCTTCAGAAGAGAGAAAACTTTGATGAACTGTGGTGGCAGCAAGATGGGGCCCCACCACACTTCGCCAATATTGTTCGGGTGTTCTTGCATCAAGTTTTTCCTCAACGCTGGATTGGCCATCGAGGGCCTGTGGAGTGGCCAGACCGATCACCCGACATCACCCCACCAGACTTTTTCCTTTGGGGTTACCTCAAAGACAAGGTGTATGCTAATCCCATTGACAGTGTGAAACATCTGTATGAGGTGATTGTTCAGGAGTTCAATAAAGTTCCGGTGAATATGTGTAGAAAGGCGTGTGAAAATACTGCTTTGCGTCTGCAAGCCTGTGTTGACTTAGGTGGTGCCCAGGTTGACCAGCATCTTGAAAATCGATGACTTATGTGTGTGAGATTACATTTTTGTAACCATTGCAATTGTTAACATTTATCAATAAAAATAACATCTAATCAAAAACTGCCTAATTGAGTCTGGCCCACCCTGTAGTATCTAATGAATTCTCTAGTTTTATTGTCAGCTTGATGGGGTAGATTTTCTTCTCTTTGAAGATGTAGAAACATATAACTTGCCTGTACTGTTTAAGCAGAGCCAACAGAGCATTTGTTCAGCCATGCTATAGCTCAGGCAGTTAGTCACCAGCTTCCCATTGCAGTGGCCAGGGTTCAAACCCAGAATTTATGGCAAAGTGGCAATGGGATGGGTGTTCTCTGAATACTTCAGTTTCCCCTACCAATTCTCATTCCACCAATTAATTAACGCTATACTGACAGCATTGTTAAATGACAAAATAAAAATGTTCTAGGATACCCCAATGGTGATATCAAACCACAGTCAGTCATTCTCTAGTCAACTCATAATTCTTTTAACTATGATAACATACAAAAACTACATAAAACTATTTTCAGTTTTTTGTGGCATACTAGATTCCTCTTGTGTGAAAACTGGATAACAGTGGGAAAGCTGTTATGTTTAGTGAAAAGGGCAAGAAAACAAAAGCAGAAAATCTGACTCTTTACAGGTGACACTACTGGAAGTAAAAGCCTGTAATATAATTCAACCTATTCTTAATGCTGACTACACCATAGGAAAGAAGAAAACAGGGCACTGGAAAAAATTACATGATAATGAATTTCAGGGTTCATACATTTCATTTAACATTCTTAGGATGATTAAAGCACGAAGAGTGTTCTGCCCTTAGCATACAGCACACAAGGGTAAAATGAGAAATGTGTGGACAGTTTTGGTAAGAATTCATGAAGGGAACAAACCACTTACATGCAGACAAGAGCATAATAATAAAATGAGCCTCAGAGCTATGGTGTGTGAGGTTATGCTAGCGTGAGATGATTGGATTTTGTAAACATAGCGATTTACCTTTAGTTTCCATAAAAGTGTGAAATATCTTCACTATTAACTTTTGAACATTGAACTATGTCACATAAATAAACAAATATCCTCTCCTATTGCTTCGCAAACATGCAAAGTAAGGTATAAAAGTAAATCATAAGAAGTGGAAGCTATCCACAAAAAACATCTCGGTATGTGAACTAGTGTAGCACTTCTTCTGCATGCACTCACAAGGTTATGTGCCTTTTCACGCAACAAGTTGCACGTTTCCTCATACAGCTGACGTGTGCTGGCCACCAGCTCTGTCACCTGTGGTCGTAGGTTTGGCTGAAACATATAAATTCGCCCCATACAATCTCGACAGTGGCCTAGAGCTGTTAAGTAAATGCAGTTATAAATATTCTGCTTGGCTGAACTTAGAAGGTCCACTGTGGTCTGTACAAACTCCCTATATATTTAGCAGTCACTTCCAAAAATGTGATCCAGAATAAATATTCTTAATAACAGAAAGATAATTGAAATATCTACATATAAACAACAGACACCTCCTTTCAATCTCTGGAAAAACTGTCCACAGCTGTTATGGTATGGGGACAGTAATGACGACAGAACTGAAAACTAAAAAGGATGAAAAAGGAATATGGGGAAAGGAGGAATGAGATCAAAGAACAGAGAAATGAGAAACGGCAGGGGGGGGGGGAATGGTACACACTGGAGATGACTGATGCAATGCAACATTGAACTGGGTTCAGTAACAACTGAGTATAAGCAACATGCATTTGAGTTTGAGCTAAGAAACTGCAGATTCCATCCTCTTGCATATATAATCTTAAAATCACTTTACTATTAATAAATCAGAGAATTTACTTCATGCTTGTATGACAGGAAGACTAACCCCTTCAAGAATTTTTCCACCTGGATGCACCTTCTCAAGGTTAGCAGCAGTCTCTGCTGCCAGCTGGTATAGCTCTACTTCAATTGTTGGATGTGTGATGGTGAGCAGCTTCACATACCTACAGTCATGCATGATAAAATGTAAGTACCATAAAAGTATGGCCGTGCCATAGCTCAAGCGGTTAGTCGCTGGCTTCCCACCGTGGTGGCCCGGGTTCGATCCCTGGTCTGGTCAAGTGGGATTTGTGGTGGACAAAGTGGCGCTGGGGCAGGTTTTCTCTGAGTACTTCGGTTTCCCCTGCCAATCTTCATTCCACCAATTGCCCCACAATCACCCTCACCTATCATCTGGGGCTGGTACAATAGGCCAGAAGTGGCCGCAGTACAAGGGACCTAGTCCCGCCCCACTAGCAATTAAAAAACATAAAAGTATAAACATTTTTAACTTTCTTGTTATTGTCATTGTTCACTGTGATGTGAAGCACAATTTTCTGATGTATACCCACTACATTTCTTGGTCAAGTTTAGTATTTGTCCTGCCATCTATTCCTGTGTACTGATAATGAATAAGTTATAATTCACTAATATCATAATGACTGAAATATGCTGTTCAAATTTCTTTTGAAAAATCTACACGCTAAAATCTGCTTAAAGTAACATGTTATGTATGAGTGCCATACTATGGACTGTAATATGATATTAATGTGCCCGTCTCCACACAATGCAACCAGTATTGAACATGAGTTTATTCAAAGTTTTATGCACTACATGTTAAAAAAATTATCAATGGCAACATCTTTCAACCTTCAAAGAGACACTCATCAGGTCTCATATATGTTCCTACATGCAAACCACTATTATTAGCTTTAAGACTGAAACAAATTAAAAAATTCAGACCCATATAAGAGGGTCAAGGGACTAAATATAAGAAGTGATACAATTTGATATATAAAGTTGTTACCTATAATTTAAGGTGTATGCATCTTTGCTGAGTTTGGACTGTATCAAATACCGTATTTACGCATGTATAGGCCGCACATTTTTTGCCAAAAATTCAAGAGGAAAACTGGGGTGCGGCTTATATTTGAAATATTCGAAATCACACTTCATTTAAAAAAAAATATATTCATAATTAGTAATACAGGATGTAATACTCCTGAAATAATATTCCAAGAAAATTATTTTTTCTATAATTTCTGTCTGAAAATTGTGCTGCGGCCTATACACGCACGCGGCCTATACATGCGTAAATATGGTAATTTTATTTCATTGTAATTTTATTGGGATTTGAAATGAATGAGCTAGCTGTGACTCACTTGACGAGAGTGGTGACAGATTCAATGAAGCCCAGGAGCTGTTGCTTCTCTTCTTCAATGAATGGGGACAGCAGCAGCAGCTTACCCCCTAAACTGCTCTGAGAGTGTAACAGTGACTGCTGGTGACGCTGCTTCTCCTCCCATGCACGCAGTGATGTCTCTAAGGCCTGCCAACAGGTCAACAGACTTAACGAATATTAATGAACATTCAAATTTCAAGTCTCTAAACCTCTTCTACTCCTATATGTGCAAGACAATCAGTTTAAATATTAAAGACATTCCCTACACAAAGTGAAAGGTGTTATGAACATGAAACTACTAGTGTTTAAATTATGAGCTCATTACTAATTAACTAACTGGTCTGCATTATGAATACCGACTGTTTGATTGTTGTCCTGATATCCAACTGACCAACAAATTACTCCCCTACCAGTGTTTTTTCTGAAGAGTAACTATGAAAGAAATTTCAGCTAATTGCTATAAAACATAATTACAATTTTATTAGATGATTTATATGGGTGGAAGAACTTCATCTCTCATTCCAAGAGAGAAACACAGACTGAGAATGATGGAGAAGAATCTCTTGAGCAGGCTATTTGGGCCTAAGGAGGAAGAAGTAACAGAGGAATGATGGAAATTAAATAATGATGCATCTATAATCTGTAACCTTCATCTACTTCTTTTGGGATGATCAAATCAATAGGAATGCGGTGGGCATGGAAAATAGCATACATGTGAAAAAATAAACTGCAAACACAATTTTGGTTTCAAAACTTGAATCAAAGGAAACAATTAGAAGATTTTGGCATAGATAGAAGGATAATATCAAAATGATCTCATTGAATAGGATCTGAAAGTGGGGATGGATTGATTTTGCTCGTGCTAAGGTCCAATGTGTGCTTCTCTGTACAGTTAAGAATTTTCCACTGAATCATGAAATTTCTTGACCAGCTGAATAATTACCAACTGATAAAGGAAGTTTACAAGCAGTGGAGTTTGTTATGGAAGTTGAAGATTCATCACCCTCACACCACATCATATCAACTGATGGGATCTGTTCCACTTATGGTACTTGATAGTCAGCTGGGTGGCATGTAGGATTTTTGAAAGAATAATTAATTCAGCCACCCAAATTTCATGTACACAAAAACTATCCTGCCTTTTATGCACAAGCTTGTCAATAATGCTGCACCATAATCATATTTCTGCTATAAGAACTATAACTGTAGGGTTACATCTTCCGGGATATAACACCATTTAGTTTGATAGAGTCGGATGATGTTTTGGAGGAACATATCACCTTCATTTTCAGTCCATTTCATCACCACTTCTGTGAGAACCTAAAATCATACAGAACTATAAATATTTGTATGATAAACAAATAAAACAAACTACATGGTTGTAGTCTGCAAGCGAACTATACCGACCGTGCAACTGCTGCTTGTCGGCAAAGTTAGTGCCAACTTCTGAGGATAGAGGGTGTTGCGTGGGCAGTGCAACGGATTCCCACGGCAATTAATTTCGGTTTTCTAGACCAGAGTCGTTATTTCCTTGAAATAGCTCCTCAATTAATATCACGAGGCTGAGTGGACCCTGTTCCAGACCCATTACTTCTCAGAAAAAATCTGGTAGCACCAGGAATCAAACCTGGACCTCTGGATCTGTAGCCAGGAACTCTGACCACTAGACCACTAGACCACTAGACCACTACACCCTTTTTACTAATAAAATATAAGATGATGTTACAATCCTCACAGGGGCATGCAGTAGCATGTCAAACACGTTTCCTTTGGGGGGGGGAGGACATAAGCACATTCCATGCTGATCTTAAAAGGATTAACATCTAATTTTTAAAAGAAACCATAAATAGAGTGTACTCTGAACAGAACAAGATTGTCTATTCTCACACTGAACATACTCACCTTGTTGCGGCACAACATCTGCATGCGGTTCTTGTGGATGATGCGAATCATGCCTGGTGGTTGTACCCATGCTTCCCCATCAACCTGGATTGGAACACCCTCTTCTCCTACAAGAGACATGAATTGTATGATCAGAAATCATATAATGCTACACCTCTTCTTCAGTGTCTGAGAAATGTTACAATGTCACATTCACCAAACATTGATTTTTTCCCCCCTTTTTAGTGTCTGGTAAATTTAATGCATTGCACTTTCTTCATGTAAATGTGCTATAATCAGTCACACACAGATCACTGAATTAACTAGTTAACTACTAAACTAAATAATTAATTACATAACAAAGTAGACTGAATCAATAATTAACTATTTAAAGACATGTAACATACCATAATACAATATAATATAATAATAAATGTATTGCAGCAGGACATGTCAAGCATACGCTGGAAACTGGTGCTTCATGCTGTCTCTGGACATCTGATAAATGTACAGATGACCACCATGTCAGTCAATACCCCTCATATTCTGGGAGTACTCCTCCACTATGCTGGGTTTTGAATAATCTCAGTTTTATTCCACAAATTTACAATGCCACTGTAAATGAAGCTCATAAGGGTCATTTCCAATTAATTGTTTCATTGTTTTTTTTTCTGACAATTTCCCCTTTCCTTGGTTTTGAATTTTTTTGTTATATCTGGAACCCCTTTGTTCAGTCCATCTCACTGTTGCAATACTATCAGTCTGGAGGTCATTCAGCTTGTCATCTACCTCTGGACTTGTGTACCAGTTATCCAAATACAACCTGTATCCCTTATTAAGTGAAAACACAATTTGTCAGCCAATGTGCTGAGCAACATGTTGGTTACCAGTACAGACAATCAAATTATTTACATAACCAGACCTGCTCTCCTAACACTTAAAACTCTTATACCAAATTGATTTCACTAAGATGGAATGTACTGTTTCCACTCAAGCCTTCCCTTCCATAGCACTGTTCAGGAATATACATAATTGCAGATTTTTCTTTGAGGTAAACTATTAGTGGCTTGATTTTGTAAAGTTTTCTCTCTTTAGAACTGGAATATATCTGATCTTCATTTGCAGAGTGGAGGAACTGCAACACCAAGTGAAACCTACGTTCAGTCATCACTTTCCTGAAGGTGTTTCAGTGCTCTCTCCTCTGCTAAAATACATAGCATTTGTTGGCTGATGTGGTAGTTCTTGCAAAATAATGGCCCCATCACTTATCTTATTTCACCATAGTTTATGTCATGCCACTTTCTTATCCTGGAGAGAGGCTTCATGTCATTATGGATGGAATATAAGTTCATTTGCTCACTAAATTTTGTAACAAATTTTCATAAATAAATACATCAAAATATTCTGTTACCGTTTGGAACATCCTTCAGATTTACTTGAACACCACTGTTAGCAGTAAAAGAAAAACCTACTCACTCTTTATCAGCTGAAATCCATCCACTCAATGTAGTTACTTCAATGTAAATATCAGATACATTTTCACTGGAGGAACTGTCGCCAAAAGTCTCTGGCATGTATTTACCCATCCATTACTACTACCACTATTATATTTCAGCATCCTGTTACACTCACACAATATATATGGACAAATACCGCCTTAAGTGCAACAATTTTATTGTAGTTTTTACTACAATAAAATTGTTGCACTTAAGACGGTATTTGTCCATATATACTACTACCACTATTATCATTATCTATATAAATAAAAATGTAAATGTTGGTTTGTTAATCATCGAAGATCTCTGAAAGTTCTTCACCGATTGCTTCGAAATGTTGACACAGCATTGCATTCGAGCACGCGCGTGTTTTTATATACCCATTATATAGATGGCACACCTGTGACAGGTAAAAACAGGTAAAAACATGTCACATGTTCTGAATCCAGCAGTCGTTTCCATAGTGACGCTAGAACAGTTAGCGTATACTTCCATGGAAACGCAATAACAGTGGGCCAATGCATAGGAATTGCCGAAAAAACAAACACGTTTCCCTGGAGATGAAAGGATAAGTGGTTCCATTGCGTAACAACGGATGAAACCAAACACTTCTACACGGTGTTCTGTCATCCATCAAATACCAACAGATCGTTGCTGTTGCATAGGAATTGCCGAAATAACAAACGCATTTCCCCGGAGAAGAGAGGATAATTGGTTCCGTTGCGTAACTGCGTAACAACGGATGAAACCAAACACTTCTACAAGGTGTTCTGTCATCCATCGAACCTGAACAGATCGTTGTCTAGGAATAACCGCGGCAACAAGCACAGAACACGTAGGATAAGTGGTTCCGTTGCATAACAATGGATGAAACCAAACACTTCTACAAGGTGTTCTGTCGTATATCAAATACCAACAGATTGTTGCCTAGGGCAACGAGCACAGAACACGTGAAATCGAACCCTGGGCGAAAGTGCCCTCTATTGCATCTGAAACCAGGTTATAACAGTCCAGCTCCAAAGAGTTTTTTGGTGACACTGGACGTGATAGTAATTGTACTCGCTGGTGTAAAAGTGAGCGTTCAATAACAAATTTGCTGAATCCAAGACGTACGTGGAAGTTATTTGTCGCACTGAATAGGAGACATGTGACCACAACAACGTTACATAGGTAACATGCAACATATTCTTATTATCAAAGTACACGTAAATAATGCAACAATTTAAAAGACATCAAGAATATGTCACTCACTAAAAGTGTATTTTAAGACTTTATGATGTTAAAATCATGTGAGCGGAAGCAATGCGTCGAGTAATTTCAAATCAAACTGGGGAAGAACGGGCAGACTGAGCCACAGCAAGGCGTGGCCGGACACAGCTAGTCTCCAATATTTTCTTTATCTATATAAATAAAAACGTAACTGTTGGTTTGGCTCTCCTCGAAGATCTCTGAAAGTTCTTCACCGATTGCTTCGAAATTTTGATATAACATTGCATTCGAACACGCGCGTTTTTATATGCCTATTATGTAGATGTCACACCCATGACAGGTAAAAACAGGTAAAAGTGTTAATTGTATTCAATATTAATATACTGTAACATGTTATACGTTGTCCATCGAATACCAACAGATCGTTGCCTAGGAATAACCATGGCAACGAACTGTTGAAACAGTGGGTTGTTGCCTAGGAATAACCATGGCAACAAACTGTTGAAACAGCAGATCGTTGCATAGGAATAACCATAGCAATGAACTGTTGAAACAGCGGATCGCTGCCTAGGATTGACCGTGGCAACGAACTGTTGAAACAGCGGAAATAAGGCATTTCTGCGGCAACAAGCACAGAACACGTGAAACGGAACCCTGGGCGAAAGTGTCCTCTATTGCGTCCGAAACCGGGTTATAATAGTCCAGCTCCGAAGAAATTTTCGGTGATACTGGACGTGATAATAATTGTGCTCGCTGGTGTAAAAGTGAGCGTTCAATAACTTATTTGCTGAATCCGAGACATGCGTGGAAGTTATTTCGTAAGTATAGTTTATTTTTTGTTGTTTTTCTTTTCATTTTCTAAGAACAAGCTTAGGTCGTCGTACTTGTGGAGCGGAAGCAATGCGTCAAGTAATTTCAATTCAAACTGGGGAAGAACGGGCAGACTGAGCCACAGCAAGGTGTGACCAGGCACAGCTAGCTCATAATATTTAGTAAACTGCCTGAAAATTCATCAAGCCTAGCCCACTTTCTTACAGGCACCATTCATTTTTTCCAGGAACTATTGTGCACATGGGGTTGGTTACAAGATAATGGCATCAGAAATAAATTTCTCTGCCCACATATTCACTGATAAATTATTCAAATGTCTGCCATTTGACACAGAAAATATCAACTAACATGACAAAACAAAGACTGGTGGACAGCCGCATCATACCAACAGGTTGCTTAAAAGAAGGTCATCAGTACACCTGTACATCATGTCTATTACAGATGACACACCATAATGACGCATAGGTGCATCAGACACAGTTACAAGGTTACCAGTTAACTTCATAGTGAACTGAAGATGTTATAATTAAAAACCTCTAAATATAAAGTTCCTGCTTTTCTGCATTCTGAACAATTTGAGTGCATACTTTAATAACATTAGCACTAAAAATAATCACTACTTGATGCCTCCTGTGTTTTATTTAAATTTACAATATTCAGTACATTCTTACAAAACAAAGCTGTCTCTGTTCCTAAGCAATATTATGGAGATAGTGCTACCATATTCTTATGTTGGCACCAGGTAGAGGTGGAAGGTCACTTGCATCCTCTGGCAGATGTACGTTTAGCAGGAGCCCCGGGTACTAAAATTAGTTTGCATATGATCCCCACCTCTACCAGGAATTGAATCCTGGCTGTGCAGCCTATATGAGTCAGTCACCTGACTGACTGACTGAGCTATATCAGCTTCTCCAATATTCTTAATCATGCCTGAACCAGTTGCACATGTGTGATGAAGTCGCTATTCACAATGGACACAATTTATTTTCTACTGACTGGTACTGTTTTTTTCACTTTACGTAAGATGCACAGATTTCAAAGTGATAAAATGGATGAGAGCTTATTTGAAAGGTACTAACAGTGCAGAATTAATATGTCAAGACAGCTGGTACCATAACCAATATTTGAATGAAAATCAACTTGCTTGGAGGTTTATTTTGTGATGAAAAGTGTTTATTTATTATGCTCAAATTAGTGAGTGAGGTGCAAGAAAATATATGATTGTCCCAGCAAAGTATTGTTACGTGTTTTCTGTGTGTCCCGCAACAAGTAAATCCATGTAGGTCTCATATTCAGTAGAGCCTTTATTGGACACTTCACTTATACAATCACGAGTACAATTATTATCCACTGTCCTCCTCGGCGGTTAATTCCAGACTTGCTTCTTCTATGGAGGCTAATACCAAACTGTCTTCTTCAGCGGTTATTGGCAGACTCCTGTTCAAATGCATTCAACCCCGTTTTATAACCTCAGCCACTGCTATGCAAACGGCCCTTTGTTTTAACCGTGGAAACTCATCTCTATGCAATGCTCACTGTTAGAATTACTGTATCACTATTGTTACTTCCTAGGCAACGGCCTGTTCTAGCGTTTCCATGGAAGTAACTCTTCTGGATTCCAAACATGTTACAGTATGAAGTTTTGACCACTCACCAAGAATTGTGATTTGGACAGTTTGGCACTGGGCAATGCGATGGTGCTGCAGGTTGATAAGGCGTGATGCTGCCATCTGTACAGAGCCGAACACAGCAACTACTTCAAGAATACGGTCATCAAAACTTGGTGCAAGGAAACAGTCATCTTCCTTAGTACCACCCCAAAAATTGGTCCCCCCCATGAAACTGGAACAGAGGAGCAGTGAACCTTTGGCCTTTGTTCCTTCAGTGCATTTTATGTATTCTGTGTTTCTCTCAACTTCATACAGCTGCTACTCATGCACATAAATATAATGGTAAAGAAAATGGTAAATAAATTCAGTTTTATCACTTGTAAATTTTAGGAACAGATTGGCAAAAAGGCCAATTTTAAATATCTTAACAAATTCAATATCTTGTCTGCATAAATAGAGGATCTAATTTTTCAGATGTATGGAACAGACTGCCATTCTCTATAAAATAAAATTGTTGCACATTCTCTTCAGTGATGTCATTATAACACTGGCCAGATTATGAAGAAGCACATGGAACTGAAGGTACAGACATGCTGGCTATAGTTTAACAGGCATGGTCTGAAGTCCTGGTTGTGTGTATGTACACTGACAAATAGATTTAGAAAGCCTTACAAAATCTTTCTATGTATTCCTCTGACAACTGCATAATTGTCTAGGCCCCACTTACAATATCACATCATTATTACTTTCAGTGCAAAGAGTCTGAGGTGATGATGAGCTATTTCAAGAGATGACAATCAAGTTCATGCTTACCTTGGAATGTTCAAAATGACGATACCCTGCAGAGAGGGCAGAGGAATTCGTTGTCCATCGCACTCCAACTGTACCCGTTGTTCCAAGTTCTTGTATGTTTTCTGCAAGAATTAAATCCATTATCACAATGTAAGTCAGGCAGCGGACTCAGTTTTGGACACCTGACACCAGTCACTATCATTACACACAATGTGATTAAATATTAATTTTAAAATTATTCCATAACCATAAATTCTTTCTAGAAATCCTCTTGCTACAAATTTTATATGCACCTTGTTTCCCTTGCATGCTACAAGCACACCTCATATTATGATCCTCAAATAAATACCATGTAAATGAAGAATATAGGATGTCCCAGGAGGAAAGGTCAACATGCGAGGTCATAGCATTCATCATTCTAAGCAAAAAAAGTGTATATGCACACACGTCCTATTCTGAATGCTTTCAAAGATAGAGCTATTTCACTGTACAGTTCCAAAGTCATTGATACAAAAGATATTGTAACGTGTTTGCGTTACTGATCCCACTTCTGATACCAATGTAACGTGTTTCGTTACTGAAGACGCCGTAGAGATGGTTAATTGGTTTATTTAACAATCTTCAAACAACGGCTACAATTAATTATAACAATATTACGGGTTTCCACACTTTACAAACCCTAGAACAAAATCTCTTAACACTCTCTTCGAGAGTCTTCACGTACTAATAATGCGGGAGCTATACAAGTCTCCCTGAATTACACACTCCAGATATGACTGGTTATCACTGGTTATCGCACACGCGGCTGTAGCTCGTAACTTGCGAACTGAGAAGTCGTTGATAACGCACTCGGCGACTGTCACAGTACAACTAACTGTGAATAGCCTTCGCTGCTCCTTATGTAGCCTCGATCGGACAATACGGCCACGTAATAGGCACCCTTGTTGCCTGGCGCTGTGTTGCTAGCAACGCTAGAGGTAGTAACCGCTGTTACTACCGTAACAATCCTGTTGCGTCACCGTTACGTTACCGTGCGGAGGAGGGGGAGGGGAGCGCTGACTCACCCGCCGCGTCACTGCTGGTGGGGGGGGGTTCTCCTTTGCGCAACATGTCACAATATATTCCATACTGTTTCTAATACCAGTATTTATTGTTCAAGTGACATAGTTGGCATGGCTTACCTATTATAATAAATTTCCAAAAATTCCATCAATATCAACACACTTTGCAACTTGGGCGAGGGCATGTCATGTTGCTTGTATGAGTGCATCTTGACATACATCTAAATTACTGTGTATGGTGAAATAGCTCTATCTCAGAAGACATTTGGAATAAGACACATGTTCATGTACACTTTTTTTTACTTAGAATGATGGATACTATGGCCTCTCAGAATAGTGACCTTTCTTCCTGGGTCACACTGTACAAACCAAGATGTTATCTGCAATCTCACATTCTCCATACCCCGTTAATTAATCTCTCTTATGATCAAATATCCTACTCAGAATTCATTTTCCTTTTCCTCTCAGAACAGAAGATACATTTTTTGATTCACACATACAAAAAGAAAAGCTTACAAAATTATAATTTTATTAATATTTATTAAAAGAAGCAAGAAAAGAGATCATAAGAACTGAATCACATTCCTATCAGACATTGCATATAAAATTCTTAATGGCATGTCCACATTATCATCAAATGCAATTTTCACTGACCTTCAGTCATTTCAAGGGCCATTTCAAATAAAGGCCTAATTAAGTATTTTGAGTTCTTTGATAAATTCTGGTGCATGTCAACATACAACAGTTTCATTATGTAAGCAATACCCTATACAAGTTTAATTTACTTCAGTTATTTTAAGGGAAATTTTATGTGAGGGCCTAATTAACTTTGATGTATATCTCATCAATCCTTTAATGGATCCTGATGAAACTTTAATTATGATGCTTCTGTTATATGAAAATTATCACATTTAAGTTTCATTTAGTACAAATAGTTTTAAGGGCCTATTTTAATAAAGACTTTAAGGCACTCATATATTTTTTGAGCTTTGTGATAGATTTTGATGAAACATGATCTATGGCATTTCTATTACATGAATATTATCAAGTAAGAGTTCATTTCCTTTTATTAACTGACAGGAGATATGTCATTCACAAACAAAACATATGATTTTTTTTTACAGGTAGCAGTCGCCTATTCCTGTCTGACATATTCCTATCAACAATACAAAGCCAGGGGGCATTCAAACTATCCTCAGTTTCCCACGTGGATGATGGAACTTTACCTGCAACCATTCCTTGCTCCCCAGCACACCATACCACATATAGTTCTTGGCTCGGGAGCGGCATTTCTCAGGATGTTCCTCTCGCTTCTGATGGAAATCAAGTGAGATCTTGGCATCAATACCAATTCCGAAGTAGTTGTTCATCACTGCACGCTCATAGTACCCTTCTCTGGAACACAGCATTCATGTCTGTCAGTCATCAGGCAGATGTCTCTCATACATTTACACAGGAATGAAGTCCTACAGTATATCACTATAGACAACAGAGAGACAAACAGACCCATTGCACTTAAAAGCAGTTTTTGCTTAGAGGGGAGGGGAAAAGAAGCACCAAATGTTGGCACTAAACTTCCACAGACTGCCATCACTTCTTGCTAATACTTACAGCAGTGTCTCATCAGGATCCATCAAGGGTGAGGCAGCAGCACAAAGTGCATCAGCATTGGCAAGCAGTACCTTGCTCACAAGACCCGCACCTGCACTCACATCTGCAACGCAGTCAGTAAGTTCACCAAATGTCACTACTGAATAAGCATCACTCCTGGTTCTTATATGGGAGGTTTCTGGTTCAAATCTCAACTCAGAGGTGATCTAGGACAGCTTTCAACTAGGATGACTGAGATTTCTTTTAGAATTCCTCAGTCCCTCCAGAAAAAAATTTGGGATAGTATTTCAAAATAGACCACACCTGCCTACATCCACAACCTACCCAACTCATCACTCACAGATATACTACTGTCTGATTCTAAATAACCTAGCAGTTAAGTAAACCAAGAATAAATCATCAAATACTCAATGAGATAATTCCAAGCTACTTCATGAGAAAATGGAAGGCATATTTTACATAAGTACATTTATTTCTAGTTTGCTTTAAAAAATATAACATAAAACAAACTGTCAGATTGGCACAGTTCTAAATCGAATATTCTTTACAAGATTTGGTGTATATCTTCGGTATCATATTCTGTCAAAACATTCTCTTGACAGCCAATATGCTTCATGCAGAATGACTGCAGACATATTAAGCAGCATTCTGTACATGCACACATGAAATGACTCACAACAGTTCCATCTTACTTGTCACACTCACTTGGCCACATTGGCGACCGGACAAGAGGGTTAATGATAGGGAGCCTCTTAGTTGGTGACCTTTCCTCAAAGCGGCTGTCTTTCTCAAGGCTGCGTGACCTGCTCCGCCCCGAAGCAGCCTTGGTACCAGCTGCTATCACAGCATCTGGGGCCTTCAGCAGAGATCCACTTGAGATTCGTCGGGTGGCTGCAGGAGAGCAGTTCAATCCTGACGTGGGGGACATTACTGACACTGCAACAGCACAGAACTTGAAGATTAAATTGACTGGAAGCTAGGAATACTTCTTCATATGCTTTCTTCATAAATGTTACTTTTAATGCAAATATAATTATATGAGTGATCACATCCCTGAGGGAGGAATGAAGACTGATAATATTTTATAAGGGTTTTACCAGTTTCTTAAAGACAATATGTCAACTGCAATGATTATAAGCACTGATGATGGATTCTAAAGCATATACCTGGAAGAAATATGGACAACTGTAAAAAAAAAAGTCATGACAGAAAATCTTCTGTACTGAAGCTCAAACTAGAAACTTCCAAATATGAAGCAGGCATGTTAATGCACTACATGTGACAACTGGTATAGCATTTTAATATGAATGAATGTATAAGGGGTGGGCCTTCTTGGCCTTTGCACCGTGACCACAGTGATCTATTGTGCCTTTAGCATTTTAATATAGAACACGCAAAAGACATGCAAAGGCAAGGAAAGAGTGGACAGAGAGAGAAGAGCAGCACACATCACAGGACACGGCAGACAAACAATCCCAGTGAGAAGATCAGCAGTTGATAACGATTACATGCCTTTGAGACAAGTAGCAGCAGGACGATGGAGGAAACTCTATGATGAATAGCATCTTAGTTCATATTTGTCACCTGGTACTGTTAGGGTGGGTACATCAAAGATGAGACGGCCAAGACATGCATCACAATGAAACCAAATATGAGGATCAAATTCTGGTTTGTAAATTTTATTGGGGAGAGGGGGGGGGTACTTGGTAGAAAGCTGAAGACAAAAATATTATAGTGGATATTAAGGGGTAGGTTGTGAGGATGTGAACTTGTTCAGGATATTACAGTGAGTGCCAAATGCTCAACTTGGAACCATGGAACATTATGTATAATTGAATACAATTAATTTCATGGCATACAGTCCTCTTTTAAGAGATTACAAGTTGGTCAGCTGTCAAGATATTCTCCACCTTTTACACAAGCTGAAGGTTCAGTATTGTGTTCACAGTATCCTGCCACTAGACTCTGGCCTAAGCCAGATGAATCCAGTCCATATCTTCACACCATAAGATTTATTTTGATGTTATTTTTCCATACATACCTCAAATCATCAAAGTGGTTTCTCCCCTTTAGGTTTCCAGACTGAAATTTTGTGTTTCTCATCACTCTGCATATAGATAAATGTATGACAATGAACAGAGCATGTAACTTCAATATTCAAGAGATTTTTTAAAATTTGTTTCCTTCAGCATATGTAAACATATGTCTAAATTTTACTTCACAACATTCTTACACTGGCTGCTCACATCTGTTCATGGTGTCCTCACTGAATCTCAGTAACATATCATCTCCATCATCTGACATCACTGGTGACGGAGGGTCCACAATCACACTGATCATAGGAGGGAATGCTTTCACTGGTATCTTGATGTGTCTTGCAGCCAGTGCTTCCCTCTGCTTTGCCTGACAGTATTAAGGATAAAAATATTATGATCCATAAGCATGCATCACCAACACCAACATGAATAACTCAAATGTTGACAGATAAAAATTGATAACAAACTGCTGAGATGAAATTACTGAGAAACAAGATTTGTAGAGTTAGTAAATGTATATATTTCCTTCCTCTTGTTTAATTAATTATCTCAAAAACCATGTTAAAAAAAATGCAATGGGCTTATTTATGTTTCACTTTTCTCTACAACTTTTGTTCAGAATGTTTCTTCTCTGATAAATAATAGTAAGTTATGCTCCAGTTGCACACAGGAATACAAGCAAGACATCATGCAAAGTATTAATTATCATTATCTAAATTTAACCCCAAATGGAATGTATGAACATATTGTGACGTCACTCGCGAGACCGCAGAGTTCATGTGACCCCTACTTCCTGTTGCGCCATTCACATTATTTTATTAAACTCTTTAATATCAAACTTCATGAAAATCCATTCAGAGGTTTTTCAGTCATTACATTAGAGATATTGACATAAGGACAGACAAGGGCTGCGCCATAGCTCATTCGGTTATTCACCGGCTTCCCACTGTGACAGCCCAGGTTCGATCCTAGGTCTGGTCAAGTGGGATTTGTGGTGGACAAAGTGGTGCTGTGGCGGGTTTTCTCCGAGTACTTCGGCTTCTCCTGCCAATCTTCATTCCACCAAATTCTCCATCACCATAATCACATGGGCACCCAGTTGGACTCCACCCCCCACTAAGCAAATTTAAAAAAAAAAAAAAAAATTACACTAACAACTTACAAGTGGTTTCCAAAATGATGTATTCACTTCTGCTCTGAAGATGGAAGCANGTGATGAATATGACCACTGCTAGGCAATGGTTTGGTAAGTACTGCCTGAAAGCCGGAATAGCAATGAACAGAAGCGGAACTCCATTGATAAGCAACGGTTTGGTAAGCACGTTTTTGTGACAACAAACACTTTACATGGGTACGTGCATGCAACAAATAATTTCCATGGATACGTGCTAGACTATAAAAGTGGTCGTGCAGACAAGAATGACAGCATTCATCAGACAGCCGTTCTTCAAACCAGTCATAGCAAAAAGGAGAACCAAGAAATAATTAAGAAATTTTTCATTCGTCACAGTGGAAGAGAAGACACTCGTGGTCCAGTAACGAACGGAATGAGTCTTAGACATTTACTGATCATGAGCTGTTACGACTGACTGTAATTAGGGGTGGTTGCAATAGCAGGGCCCATAAATCCTATCATCCAATCAAGAACCCATTATTATTAGTCATGCAACCCCTCATATGTGACAAGATACTTTACAGAGTTTTTATGTATGTCCTCTTCTTCCCCAAGAAGTTACATTTTCAAAAATGTATCATTACATATTTACTTCTGGGTCCCAGCGTTTCTCCCATGTTAAGAGCTCAAAGGCAGACAATTAATGTCGCTAAACACATGAATTAAAAAAAGTACCAGGCATGCCTCAAGGATGACCATAATACTGATCAGTGTGGTGTGGCTGTCTAAATCAGAAATGATTGAACTAACTAAACGACAGCATAATTCAAGGTTCAACACTACAAACACAAAAGACTGCCATGGGACATGAGCCTGGGCCAGTTCCATACACCTCCATTCTCCTCCTTGGTCTCCTAGGTAGGTACTTTCCAAAGGTATTACATTTTTAGTAAAATCCAACAGCTGTTATTACATACTAGTGTATTTTTTATATACTGATGTAAGCGCTCCAGTTTTAAGGTACAATCTCCAGTGTCTCATTACCTAATGTAACAACATTCTGTTGTTAACAGCAGTTACATATCAGACTGTTGAACTTTAATTACATACAGCTTAAAACTTGTAAAGAATATTCAGACAATATATGTAACTTCTAAATTAAAATCATAACTTTCTTGCAACCTGCCTAATAAACAAGCCCATTCCTCACCATATACACTTTAATTCTGATGAAGGGGGCAGTATGTTCCTCTGAAATATCAATATCCTCTTACATGATCATATAGTGTTAAAACCCAGAAGGTTGTAATGTGAAAAATGTTTCAGTATACTTTAGGAATGACAGTAGCAGGCTGCCACCTCTGAAGTTCTATCACAAATGAAACCTTTGGTAAATGGAATTAAAGAAAGAAATTATATTCCAGAGTGACAGGAATAAATGTTAGGATTTTGTGTAGATAAAATGTAACATAACAAGATTTATAACAGGTAACTTTAAAGCAACTAGACTAATAACTACATCTAAATAACTCTAAACACTTTAATGCACTACTTTAACAATTCAAAACACATCTCTGGTGGACAATAATTTTATATGTTGAAATGAGGAAGCCCTTAAAAAGATTGAATTTACCAGGGAAATTATGGGAAAGGAATCATGGACAATGAACAGAGTATAGTAAAATCATAAATAGAAAAACAATTGAGATTCCATTGCAGTTGCGGGGTGATTATGGAAACTGGAAACATTACAGGACATGTAAGTCTTATTTGAAAAGCACCAAGAACCATTTTTTGTATACCCCCCATAAACCAGGGTACATATAGCAGTGCCAGTTACTTTTCCTTTCTTGATCTCTTTCACTTTATGCTTAAATGTGCTGACATTACCTTAACCTATATCATGCAGGAATGTGTTAGGTAACTCAGATTTTCAGTGAACCAAAATCAATTTCCATTAAATGCTGCAACTGCACAGCATCATACAACATATTCATAATGCATTATTTAAGCCTGAAACTCCAAACAAAAAGTACAATTTTAGGAAGTAATCCATTTATCCATTTATGAATTTTTAGTTATCTGACCTTTACACCAGCTTACTTTATGCTCCTGTAAAATGAATCTGATTAATATCGGTGTTCAACTGTTTCTCTTACTCTTGAAAATGTTCACAGCATGACATGTTGCGCGATGGAGGACACCCCCTCCCTCCCCCAGCAGTGACGTGGCAGCTCTGGCCACAGTAACGTAGCCCCCCCCCAGGCTACCTGGCACCACTTCCTACTGTGACGAGACACGCAACGCAGCTGTGACATGGGCAACAGGCAACAGCGAACAGAATAAAAGCTGGCTGAGCAGCAAGTGAGAGTTAGTGTGTGATCAGGAGTGACACAGCTGGAGTATAGCAGCAGTCGCGGAAAGAGGAACTGGACGTGTAATTGTGTAATTGGAAGTGTGTGATACAGGGACACTTGTATAGCTCCCGTACTGTAAAAACGTGTAGACTACTGAAGAGTGTGAAGAAATTATTGTGAATAGCGTTATAAAGTGTGAAACCCCGCAACAGTGTTATAATCAATTGAAGCTGATACTTGTAGGTTATTAAATAAACCAATTAACAATCAGAACGGCGTCTTCAGTAACAAAACACGTTACACTGGGTGTCAGAAGTGGGATTCGACTTACACACATGACCAACAAGATTTGAACTCAAGACACGTTACAATACTTTACATCTCTACTGTATATACTAAGGCTTGGCTACTGACATAAAATATCAGCTGCCCTATGGAAACCGAGCTGTTTTGAAGAAATAAGTTTCTTGTTCAAGCAAATTATACAGACTCCACCCTTCCAGACTGACTGCTCCAGAGACTGCTGAAGGTTGCAGGCACTCAAGTAGGCATGACAGAATTCTCACAGTGTGACACATGCATAACAGTAGCTGCAAAGTCTCGTGAGAGGACAGTCCAGCTAAGTGCTGCAGGTGGCAAGTTAGCAGTGAAGTACAGAACAAAGAGTAGCTAGTTCAGTTCAGTGCAGAAAGAAGAAGATATACAGCAGTGTGTGTTGGTTGCTATGAGTCAGTCAGTGCAGTCTGTCAGTGAGTCAGTGAGCCAGGCAGAGTAGTAAGTCAGTTTTCAGTTCAATTTAGTGATAAGAGTGAAGCTGAAAGAAGAGAAGGGTGCAGAGACTGGGCAGTAGTATTATGGTGAAATGCTGAGTAGATGAACTGATATCAAAATCATATGTGGTTACTGACACTGAGATAATAACTGCTCCAAATAATGATAGATATTACAATACCACAATCAGACTCAACATGCTAATCTAGCAGTAATGCTCTAGGCTTTATATTCAGGAGGTTCTCAGTTTGAATCTTGATGGGGAAATTGGCTATCGTGATTAAGGTTTCTTGAGGTTGAACTCAGTCCCTTCAGAAAAATTCTGGGATAGTTCAGCTAGGTTACATCAGCTTTCTTACAAATCTTTTTCAATTCATCATTTACCTATCATCTGATCATTCCAAACTATATATTCTGCGATACTCAAGCATTGTAAAATAAAAAAATCTACTGTCTTTACTGGAATGGTATCTTAACCTTTAAGGGACAGGCCATTTAAATTCCGGTAGTGGCAGCAGGACGGAGTTAATTTAAAAGCCCGCCATTGTAGAGTAACAAAAATTGTAATCATGTTACTCAAAATGCTGTGATTTCTACAATTTTTGTGAAAAAAGAACGAAATAAACGCTACTTTTATCTAGAAAGTATATAGAATCAGAAACTGTAATTTACAGGTTTTAGAATCTGTAAAAATTGTTACATTGATTAAAAAAAAATCCCCAATTTTGGGCGTCTGTCCACAAAAATGCATAAAGCTTCTGCATAAAACGTTTCAGCAGTATAAATGCATGCTGCTGACACATGGCCTGACTATAATATCTGGAGGAGAGAGCATGTTTATGTTTTCATTGCACATTCTCCAGTAATGTTGGCTTCTTGTATATGGGGGTGTGGGTGAGTTCTTAGCCTTCTTTGTCCTTATGAAACTCTTGATTGTTTATACACAGTATGTGGGACTATCCACACAGAGGCGCTGTTCTTGGAATATCATCTCATTCCACTTGCTTCCAAGTCCCTTCAGAATAAACTGTAACCATTCTGAATGGTGTGATTTACGAGTGGCCTCTCAATTACGGCTTCTTCCATGCAAAATGGGGCCATGGTGCATAGTTGAAATTGTGATGTTTTATAAGCCTTACGAATACAGGAGACCACTCACCATCACTGGCCTACTTCCTGCTAATACGAGACAGATGTTGCATGTGTGCGCTTCGCGTGGAAAACAGAGTTACATACGGACAAAGTGCATGAATTGCAATGTCGGACTCTGCATTCAGTTACATGCAACATTCAGTTAGATAATGCAGGAGGGTAGACAGTCTACTTATAAAGCTGGTGTTCAAAAATAATGTACCGCATTCTGAATGGTGTGATTTATGAGTGGCCTCTCAATTTCGGCTTCTTCCATGCGAAATGGGGCCATGGTGCATAGTTGAAATTGTGATGTTTTATAAGCCTTACGAATACAGGAGACCACTCACCATCACTGGCCTACTTCCTGCTAATACGAGACAGATGTTGCATGTGTGCGCTTCGCGTGGAAAACAGAGTTACATACGGACAAAGTGCATGAATTGCAATGTCGGACTCTGCATTCAGTTACATGCAACATTCAGTTAGATAATGCAGGAGGGTAGACAGTCTACTTATAAAGCTGGTGTTCAAAAATAATGTACCGCATTCTGAATGGTGTGATTTATGAGTGGCCTCTCAATTTCGGCTTCTTCCATGCGAAATGGGGCCATGGTGCATAGTTGAAATTGTGATGTTTTATAAGCCTTACGAATACAGGAGACCACTCACCATCACTGGCCTACTTCCTGCTAATACGAGACAGATGTTGCATGTGTGCGCTTCGCGTGGAAAACAGAGTTACATACGGACAAAGTGCATGAATTGCAATGTCGGACTCTGCATTCAGTTACATGCAACATTCAGTTAGATAATGCAGGAGGGTAGACAGTCTACTTATAAAGCTGGTGTTCAAAAATAATGTACCGCATTCTGAATGGTGTGATTTATGAGTGGCCTCTCAATTTCGGCTTCTTCCATGCGAAATGGGGCCATGGTGCATAGTTGAAATTGTGATGTTTTATAAGCCTTACGAATACAGGAGACCACTCACCATCACTGGCCTACTTCCTGCTAATACGAGACAGATGTTGCATGTGTGCACTTCGCGTGGAAAACAGAGTTACATACGGACAAAGTGCATGAATTGCAATGTTGGACTCTGCATTCAGTTACATAATGCAGGAGGGTAGACAGTCTACTTATAAAGCGGGTGTCCAAAAATAATGTAAGTAGAACAAGAATTTCTATCTTAAAATTAGATTTTAAAACACTGTGCACATGCATGGACTGCGAGTCACCATATGGTGTCCTTCGGCTCATAAAGGTTAATAGTATTGTGATGGTATATCCATGATAAAGGGATGTAGCTTTTACTTAAAGAGTGACAAGGTAAGCAAACATATTTTAGAAGCATCTTTATATATTTCTAGGATATATAATATATATAATGGGGACAGTCTACACAACAATATTTCTGAAAAAACAAAATTGATACTACTGTATCAACATTTGTTTATTGGTTGCTGATGTCAACAGCCAATAAACAAATATTTGTCTCATTTTGTCATTTTTGTGCGACAACAAAAACAAACACCTGCTTCAAGAGAACTATAAACATTTCAAGGCTTTTGTACCCTTCAGAGGTATGTTAGTAGGCAACACCACCTCACAAAAATTGGTAATTCAATCACAAAGAAAAGCTCTAACAATCTTAGACACCTACAGAAGTATTGTATGTTAGACATATGCAGTGGATATGCATCCTTTTAGTAACAACATAATGTAATTTGATAATTATTAGAGTTCCACTTGGTCAATTACAAATACATATTATGTGAAATGTAATCCCTTTAGGCCAATAAAGGTGAACATATACTAGATGAAGTACTTCAAAATCTTAGCATTAAAGTTCATTATAAGTTGTCTACACTAAAAATGTTTAAATTAATTTCGTGAACACATATACACAGTGTGACAGCATGCATTTCACTACAAGGCTGTTCAAAAACACACACCTGTATATGATACTGGTATAACTCTTCATCATCTGCCTCAGATGCCACAAGGCTTGGTCTGTGTGATCCCAGAGCAGAATCAGGTGTGGAAGCTGCCTCAGCACTCAGGTTATTGTTTGATCCTTGAATTTGGACTTTAACAACATTTAGGTACTCGTCATGTTCTGTTAAGGCCTCACTGTGTTGAACCAATGGTAATTTGCCTGTTGCAGTTCTTTTCTTTCTTCCAACTCCAGATCTGATCTGCCTGTAGAATGATCGTCGTGCAATGTCATTGCCCTCCTCAAAATGAGCCAAACTGCAACCTTTCACAACTTGTTTGCCTTCTTCTTCCTCTTCGGAATCAGAGTGGTCCTTGGGCGACATAGGAGAAACATCTTCAGTAGATGATGGTGTGATTGGTATCTCACTTACATCCACACGCCCTGCCATGGCAAGTTCACCCTGCATATTTACAGCCTCACTGTGGTCTGGATTTATTACATGTAACCCTGAGATCATGTCTTCATCCTCCTGCTCTGGCTCCACTGCTTCTGGAGAGTCTATGTGGGACATGTCTTTCTCCATGTCCTTCAAACTTACAGTGGAAGATCGTCTTGTTTCCTTGATATCTGAAATAATTAACAAGTCCATTTGGGGGGCTTCGCCCTGAACATCTTGTGGTGAGGAGAGAGCTGCTGATCCACTATCACTCGCATCAACACTTAAGTTTACGTGCAGTTGGCTAACAGCTTTCTGTAATTGTTCATCAAAACTCTTATGGACACTTTCCTCAGCAGCAAGGAGATTCCCCTTGTTCTTTTCTTCCTTGCAGGACAGGATACGTTTTGCCTCATCTCCCACATCAGGGATCACTTGAATGAGATCATCAGGAGGTGAGAGGAATCTTTGCATTGGTTTAGCAGGTGTCATGGCAAGATCCTGCAGTTCTACATCTGAGGGTGTAAAAGTGGGGGAACAAGTATCATCTTCAGAGGGGACAAGACTGCGACGCCTAGCCTCCTCATCTGCAAACTCAACAGGAACAGGCAAGGTGAGGAGGTCTTCGCTACAGCCTGAGTCACGGCGCATGTCTGGCAGTGGTGAAATGGCTGTGAGTAGATTTGAGAAAGGTGTGATGTCGGGTGAAGAAGAATGTGAAAGTGCCAGTGGAGAAAGAGAGGGACTAGCTTCTGTACTGGATAGAGATTCTATGGTTGGTAATACCTGCAACATGAAAAGTTGGATCTCAACAAGTAAAAAAACAGATATGAGAAACATCTGTATGATGATACACAAACAGTGCACAGTAAACAACACAGTCAGCAAATATAATCAATTTTTAGGAATGAGGTTTAGGAATTTTTCTCTTTTCTGCCTCTGTGTTCAGAGACACTCCAAATTCTACCATCTGTCCACCCAGTGAAAGAGTGGAATGTTTCTTTTCTGGAGCATAATTCAGATTAATCATGGTCATTTAATGCGAAGGTCCTTTATTCCTTGAACCTTTACTATAGTACAAACAATTCTTGCATTACACATTCATTAAGTTTTCTCCTATATATATTTTTCAATTCAAAAGCTATGAATGGTACAGATAATGCTGTTTTAATTAACTCACCTTAACAGCATCATTACCAATCACAGCAACACTTACCTTCTTGTAATCTGTCCATTCTACTTAGTCTATAGTGGTTGCTGTCTTGCTGTATTATAAAGTATAACAATGACTTCCATTTGTTGCTGGAAGTTCATTGTTAATTTTCCCTGTACACTTTCACAGAATGTTACTTGTCTGATCACCTAACAGTCTATCTTCTTTTATTTTTCTCTTTTCTAAATTAGTAATAATTTTATCTATGTCCCAGAAGATAATTTTCATTTATTTCCATGCATTAAGCTCTCATTGCTATTTGTTAATCACTCTTTCATGTAACACACCAGGCCTGACTTCTGCAGAACATTTTACAGTGCTTATCTCTTACTGCCTGTCATAGCTCTTTGAATGTGCTCCCCAACACTGACAAGCAGAGGCACTAAAATGGTGATAAAGGAGTTTGGATGTTACCAAGTGCAACATATGTTACACAATGAATAAGTAAATGAACCATACTATGTTTTCCCTTCTCTTTATGAAGGAGTTTGTAGGGAGGACATTTTACTGCATTAAATCCCGCAAATCAAGAGCAGCACTAGGTTTAGAGATATGTACTTCTAAGGTACATATAGATAACCAACTGCTAAGGAACAAGACTAACAAATTCATTAACAGAAGAGGAGCACCAACGCCAATACATTTTCTAGTGTGTTAATCTTTTGCATGTTTAATTCACATTAATTATGTTTCAAAATTTAATTCCTATATTCAAGAAAATATGTCACATCTTTGTTACTGGCAGTATCAGTTCATAGTGATGAAGAAAATTATTGCTCACTGCAGATCCCAAGAGAACCTATTAATAAATTTTGTGGACTCTGTCCATTAGAATCAATTATTAAGTACTGCGATATGAACAATTAAATGGTCAACATATCTAATGCCATGAATTGGAAAAACACATTTGTCAAAGCAAGTGAGAATCATGCATACATTTATCATAACTCATGTTCCGTGAAGCCTTGGAGAATCACAATTAAGTGTGACTGCAGAAAGGTACAGAAACACAAATTACATGACATGCTTGCCATAAATCACCTTGAGCGTGTTGGTTGGCCTAGGCAGGCCTGGAATGTCTAGTGTCTTACTGGTCCTACGCTGCTGATGCTGATCAGGTGGTGGTGGTGTGACAATAACGCAGGGGCCAGCACGTGTCTTGTTCTGCTCATCCACAGCCTGTTCCGTGTGCTCCACTAACTGTCGGATAGCTTTCTTGAGGCTGTTGGCCCGACTCATGAGGGCATCCCGTTGCATAAACTCTGACTGCAAACATAGTAATGGTGTTACCACTATAAAGGCAAAACATGCAAACATTTTATAAAATTATCTTCAGGAGTTTCAGTGCAAATTTCAAAGAAAGTGCCTGCTATATGTCTGTACACATTCAAAAATTACATTGCCTTCAGATTTTCATGAAATTTAATACTGTGGGTGTTAATAAACTTCCTTCAAACTCTGGTAGCACACCCCAATGGTTGAACAGAGCTTATTCAAAAGCTTTCCACTGGTCATGATCCTGAGCCAATTCTATCTACTTCTCATCACATCTTCCTATGATCTGTTTTAATATTAAGCTCCCATTTCATTTTCTCATCTTCCAAGTGAAAGTTTTCCAAGAGGTTTCAAGATCAAATTATGTATGCATCTTATTTCCCTCATTTTAAGCATATGCCCAGCCCATCACTGTGTCTTCAGTTTTGCTATCCTAATAGTACTAGGCAACACAAATCGCAAACTTCATCATTATATATTACCCAAATTTCTAGTTTACTTTATTTCTGTTTCTAATTTATTTCACTCTCTAAAAGCAAAACTATCCCTGCAACAGATCGTGGAGGCCCATAGGGTTGCGAGACATCGAGACTCCCACATCTTCTAGACAATTGGTTCACAGATGGCGGTGAGGTTGTCAGTCTTATGTGCCAGCTGCCCTTTACCCCCAGGAAGACTCTGGTACTCATTTCTGTTAGAAGATGAATTGACCCCAGGGCTATGGTGTGGATGGAAGGATTAGGCCAATTGAAAAATCAAATGACCTCACTGGAAGTCAAACCCACAATCTTCTGGCCTGTAGCATAGTGCCTCAACCAACTATGCTATCACTCTAGAGTTCCAGATACTTTCCTGAACTTTCAAACATTTGTAATTCTTCCCTCAAAGTAATAGATCATGCTTTATACCCATACAAAATTATGAATGCACATCTTGATCCCCTCAAGTGACTGCAAGACAGATGGGCAGAGACTAACATTGTTCATCAGCAATTAAATGGAAGTTAATAAATAGTTACTTACCTTTCTCAGTTCATGACTGCCACTCAGGTATTTCTCTGGCCTGTCCAGTACACCCTTCTCTGCCTCTTCCTGCAATACCTCAACTTCAACCTATAATTGATGACATATGATCTATGTCCTGATTATAAATCTTTACAAACTTCAACCATTTCATATAAAGACGGCTTAGTCCCCATTTCCAAAAATATATTGCACAAAACGGCTTGGCTGAGACCCACCCCAAAGAAAATTAATTTTCCTATTAAACATTTCATTAGAGAAGATGAGATTTAGATGAATGTGTTGGCTAGTATGTGATTGGTTAGGTGCATCTGGACACTCTGTTACATTACATGTATGTACATACGTACATGTGTACAAGCACACAAGGGACTACCTGTAACTAACTATCTGGTAGGAGAAAGTAGGAAAGTTTGACACTACTAATGCCACAGATCACCACTAAACACAATCCTAAACAGTTTATAAAAAAGAATCAGTCTAATTCTGAGTTCCTTCATCAGATTTACAATTACACTATTTTTGCAGTGAAGGGTTGTTAATTTATATAAATACTGATGCCACCAACATCATAAAATATTGTCATGCTGCAAAGGACATTTATCATAATTTTTTATGTTTAAATTTCACAGTCGTACTAACAAGAGCTAAAATACTAATATGCATGATATGACATTGTGAAAGGGATATCATCAAGATAAAAAGCTTTTATAAATATGAATGGGTATGAACTCAGGTGCTTCAAAGGCATTTGCTAACACAGGTTTTCACAGAATGGATGTTTCATGTTATATGGGTAAAGCTGTCCTATTGTGACTGGACTTAAACTTACAGGAAAATAAAAGAGCAATATTAATTTATGTTACTCGCTGCACTAAACTTTATTATGAGTTATACCACTTTATGTTGATGTTTTAACTTTTAACAATCTCTCCCTACTTCAAATTTGTAAAACGTCTTTTAAGTGATACAACTTAAGGACAGCTGATGAGTTACAATACTTGATACACTATTTTAGAATGTATAAGTATGTCTTTACCTGCCTGCTACATAAAAATAGAAAAACTGGTGGGTTTCTAACATTAGAAACAAGATGCCAAGAAATATTTTCACAAACACTGGATTGTAGGATTTAAGGTTTTCACAGCAGTAGTTATGAAGAGTATAATCTTCTGGGACATAATGCTATGTAGTCTGTTGCAAGTAAAGCGACATTTCAGAGAAACATATCACCTCCATCTTCAGGGTCAAAGAATAAAAGTTGAGAAAGAGAGCACAGTGAAAGCAGGTGGCAAGCAGTATCTGTTCCTCCTCTGAAATGCTGGTTGACTTTCAACAGACAACAAAGCATTATACCTAAGAAGATTGGATCCTTCACAGTGAAAGTCAGAAGGAAAACTTGTATCATATTAGGAACCTAGTGTTCCCCCACATTCACACACCATTGCTTTGGCAGAAGTGAGGGAAGGGTCAGACATGCAGATAAGAATGCACTGGATCTGACTAGACTTGACATTTTTGGCATGGGAGTCTGATATGTCATACCAGACCTCCACACAATAACAATTATGCCCCAAATCTGACCACCTGTTGGAGCTCTTCCTGCTGCAGAGAACTGGCTTCCTCTTGCTGAAGGGACCCAGACTCATACTGGAGTGTCTGCAGGAGGAGATCCAACTTCTCCTTCAGCACCTGGCACTTATCCCCAAACTGCTGGTCCCCCTGCCCAAGACTCACTTCTGCTGCACGCATGATGAAGTCCTTTACTGCCTCACACAGAGTTCTGTAACATAAACAGATTCTGCATTCTCCTGTACCTGGCTTCCTTGGAGAAGGGCGAATAATATGATTCCTTGTCCTTAGCAAAAATTGGAATTGATATGCTCGATGATCTCTTCCATATACTTTCCTGTGTTTTATTTGAAAATGCTGTCAGTATCTCAGACTATATAGAGTTGAATGGTAGGTTGATTGGTAATAAAGTCTTGGGTATTTGGATGGAAGCAGCAATGGCCTAACTGAGGTAGTATCCTGGCATCTGCCCCACACAAAATCTCAATCGAGATAGACAGTACCCCAGCTGAGATTCAAACCAAATACCCACCAAACAGAATCTTAAATGCATTTATTTTCATCTAACAGGATAGTGGTGTTTAGATAACAACTCTCTGTCGAGTTTGTCTGTTCTGTGTGTGTAGAGAATATGAAATAATCTGTACACACAGAGCTGCAACAAACAAAACACCATTACTTCACAATCAGATTCAGTGCAACTGAATCAGAAATTCAGACTTTAAAATTAAAACTAACAATGAGTTACAGGCAACAAACTAAGATTAGAGTGCAACAATTTTACCAAATGCGTATACACCTGATTATGGCCAAGTGAGGCCGAAACATGATGTATTAAGACACAAGGACAACAAAAATAAGTGCTGCATTTAAGACAGTGGTTACATATATGTACAAAAGGCAATAATACTAGTGCAACGGGATGCTAAAGTACAACATTACCAAACATAAGTCTATAGGATTACTGTCACACCAACCTGTTCAACTGACAACCATTCCAAAAGTTATATACAGACCCAAGCATACATATACAGACATAGTAACCAATTTCTGTTTAGAAGACTAGACTGTGAATGTTATACCTGGGACAGAAAAATTCAAGCTGGAACAATGTCTATGCACCTGTTACCCTCAATAAGTCCATCTGGTTGCTTGTGACAACTGCATTCTGGATCAAAGAATTTTAGAAAGGTTTGGTATTATTACAACATTTGATGAACCAAACAGAATTTTGGTACAAATTCAATGATATGAACTTTTTCTTTTCACAGAGGCCTAAGAAATTTTAAAGGTATTTCAGTACACAATGAATATCTCATGAAATATTTAAAATAAAAATTGGAGCCAGTAAGTAGGTGAAGATTCTGTTATTTTCATTTTCTTTAAAGAAAACACTGTTTTTCAGACTTCATGAATATTTATATTTATTTAATTGTCTGTGTTTTGAAAACTCTGTTTTCATCTATCTAGCCAAATGTTCTGCAAGCCACTTTAGAACAGAAAGAAAATTTCAGCTCTTGGAGCTTAAGTCACTTTTCCCTGAAACAGACTCAGTGCACCATTCAGAAGTCACCTAATACATATTTGGTTCAGTGTATGTACACATTCATGCATAAAGCAGCCAGCACTTGCAGTCTACGAAACATCATGGTTTATTGGTTAGGAGTCCACATCTGGATATTTAAAAATCTGAAGACAGCTACCCAAGCTGACGTCTTTCATGGTTTTCCTTAGTTCCTCCAGGCAAACCCTGAGATAGTACTGTGCAGTGGAATAGTAACAGCAAAGGAAGACTTATGTTTGGGAAATCCTTATGGTTAAAAAATTAGAATGCAACAGATTTGTCCTTCCTTCCACCATCTCTACTGTAACAAATCCATTTCTCTTCTGGTACTCAGTTTGAAAATATATCTGTTGTGTGGGGGCTAACTGTAGACTATAAAGGGGAAGTACATGATTATATAATGTATTGTCTCTCAAAATGATTATACCAAAAATACAAACTAAATATAATAACAAATAAATATAATTTAAAAAGCAAACAGAATATAAAAGAATAAAGCATTCAGATTCTTGTAAATTTTATTTACATTTATTAGTAAACTTCTATGCCTCTACACATATTTGATCATTATCTGTAACTAATCCAAGACTACATTACTGTTCTTAAGAGTACGTGACTAAAAACAACTACAGAGATGGATAATAGCAAGCATCATAACTACCAATTTCCATTCCCTCAATATCTCCTGGTTTGTTTTAGTAGACTTTTAAAGATGAACCCTAGTTACTGATCACCACCTGCCTTCTCATTCAATCTTTTTCTGATTGATAATTCTGTGAGAATACATATAACCTGACTTACTTGGCAGATGAAATGACAACAGAATGCTGGTCAGATTGCAGAATCTTGGTGAGGTGCGAGACCACAGAGTCCTCATAAGCTGTGATAGATACAGATGGGTCTGCATGAGAAGGCTTGCGTGTTGGAATGTTAATGCTTTTCTCGAATGCCATGATGCTCCACCTGCAAGGTGACTTAATGACAGGAACATAGAAGAAGTGTAACACTGTATGTCATACTATCACAATCTCTGATATTAAGTTTTAAATTTCTTTTCTATGCTAATGTAGGTTGGACTAAAAGATCAAATTAGTTCCCGATAAAATGAAGCAACATTTGGTCACAATGACATCCTACAAAATATCACATCCTGAACCAGTTGGGTTGTCAATGTCACAAAAACAGAGACCTCAATATATTACATATTGCCACGTGTAGCAGGGTACATGTGACAAAATAATGGGTTCTAGATCAGATGATAGGATTTATTTGCACTCCAGTTACAAGTTCGCTTAATTACACTTATTACAGTGCTATCGCTGATCTACACACTTTCCGCTCACTGTTACACATGCATTGGGATTCTCTGTCTTCACTAGTTGTCTCCTGGCAATGGATCTCTACACAGAAACTAGCACTTCAAATCACTATGAAGTCTTCTTACCATTTCTTGTTCCATCATACTAGAACCTCATAACTCAACTAAAAACCACCATATTTCAGAATATAATCTAGAGTAATCCATTTCCTTCCCACTACATCTACAAAAGTACCAATATGTCGACTTTAAATTACAGGTTTCAATTAGATAATTTGAGAAATGGAGAAGAAAGCTTCAGAATTCATACCCTTCACCTTGCCTTATCTGGGTGATTAAATCAAGGAAGCTGACAGGGGGCAAAATGTGCAGGACACACAAAGAAAAAAAGGAATAAATACAAACTTTTGGTTGAAAACTTGTTAGATACAGGTAAAGAGAGAAAGACGCCATTTCAAAGACCAAGACAAGCTGTGGATGGAAGGATGGAACTGAAATGAATCTTACCATGATGGATTGTCATTTATGTGAGAATGTGAAGTGATTAAACACTGCAATAGTAACTGCTCTATGGCACTCACCTGTCAAGCATTTTGGTGCAGGCTTTCTCATACTTCTCGAGCAGCTGTGGGAGATGAGTGTCATCATCACATGAGCTGCCCCATCCAAGAACCCGAGCCAAATCGTTGCCTGTTCCCAGTGGAAGCACACCCACCTGACACTGCTTCTGTCAACATGCCATTTAACCTAAACAGCTACACCAGAAAATATTCTGTAAAATATTTAAAGATTCAAAGTGTGAGGTGAACAGTGAAATGTCTCCCTATATTTCTCAAGTGCTGCTAAGTGTCCGTCACAAAAATTGAGTTCCTAGTTTTTAAGAAATCTTATTCTCAGGCCAAATTATTTTCACTGTAATCATTGCATCATGATACTTTCTTGCTGGAAGATAAATTAATGAAAATTACTGAAATCTGGAAATCTTTACCATGCTGCAAAATAAATGAAAAGCCATAATATGAATAAAATCTCTTGCCTTTGAGAAAGGAAAATGTGCACAGAAGCATAGGTCACCTAAAGAACATTTTGTGTTGTGTGTTGTGGAAGAGCATTGTGAAACTGCAAGAGGAAATGTGTAGTGAATGCCCCCCCAAAAGAAAACCCCCCTCTCTTCGAGGAATTGTTGTGAACAAACTTCTTGTACATTATTACAGCCAGAAAGGGCATGGACACAGGCATTTTTGAAAATCTGTTCTGCAGATTTGTTCCAGAAGTTCAGTATTTTACCAATGAGAAAGCATTACCCCAGAAATTACCTGTCCCAGCGCCACTTTGTCCACCACAAATCCCACTTGACCAGACTTGGGATCGAACCTGGGCTGCTGCGGTGGGAAGCCAGCGACTAACCGCTTGAGCTATGGCATGGTCAGTGAAACTGATAACACTTGTTCAACGAAACTTCTTCACAATTTCTCAAACAAAGATGCAAGCAAGTCTGACAGTGATTTAGTGAATGCTTGGAAAGGGTCTGAAAAAAGGTTGGAGTAAACGTTAAAGAAGGCCCAAAGTAACATATGTGAACTTGGCTTCCAGTTCATGACTGATACAGAAATTATCAGAGTTGGAGAAGTCTACACAACTTACAAAACAGACATTACTGGACTGTCTGTCACATTAAGTCACTTTACACACTTAACATGTAAAATGCGGTGAAGTAACTTGTTACATATTGTAAGAATACAAAGCAAAATATTGTCATATTTACGAGTGGCTATAGATGCAGTCTGGTAGTTACTATAGGATTCTGAAGATGGTGTATAACACACTGATATATTGGGTTTTCGGACTTTATCCATCGTCCTGGTTTTAAAGATAACTAATAAAAACATGACGTTTCGGAAACTGGATCTGTTTCCATCCTCAGGTGAAGGAAAACACCAACAGAATAGGAGTTTTCCTTCACCTGCGGATGGAAACAGATCCAGTTTCCGAAACGTCGTGTTTTTACTAGTTATCTTAAAACCAGGACGATGGATAAAGTCCGAAAACCCAATATATCAGTATGCAGTCTGGTGCTTAGCAACAGGTCTATATGCCACAACATCTTGGTTTATCCATGGTTTTTAGTTATTCATGCAACTTATCTTCATTAGCCCAGATGATCAGGAGTTGATGACATAAAGTTGATAAATAAAGAATAAGCTCACCATGAATGCTAAAGGAAAGAGGATATTACAAAAGAAAGATGAGACAGAAATTATTGAAACACATCCTGACTTACATGCATGTTGAGGCGATCTATTTCAGACAGAACCCACCCTACAGAACCATCCCCGCTGCACACCAGGATGCGGAATGGATCAAAGTGTCGGAAAAGACGCAACCTGCAAAGCAGAGGGGCTTATGCAATAGTAATCAAGGCAGACTATCATTCTGCAAGGCTTGTGAGCAAAGGGCCATGTGTGTCTACATGAGCTATGACAGCTCAGTAAGTAAAGGAATTGGTTGTGAGCTGAATGGCCAGAGTTCAATTCCTGAGAAGAGCACTAAGACTTTTCTCTTCACCACCACCCAGAAAGAGTCAGAACCCACTGATAGTCATATTCAAAGAGAAGTAAGGGTCCTTTCCTTGTGGCTATATGTGGCAGAAGTGTGAAGCTTACAGCTCACCTTCATTTACTAACAAGGTTAAGATTGTAAGAACGTGTACAATTTAATCTCCACACTCCTCATAGCACTGTGGTAAGCACAGCTGAACACAGCAACATGTAAAGAACAACAGGAGATCCTGGGTTAATATTTCATCCAAGAGACACACTATCCTAAGGCTTTAAGTGTTTCTCCTCAGTACTTCCAGAATAGTCCCTTAACTTAGGATGCAATCACTTCTTTCCAATTCATATAATTCATTAATCCTCTCATACAGAGTTACATAAAAGAACTCCTTGGCCTTTAGTCCATAAGTGAACTATACCGACTGAGCAACCAGCATTTGTCGGCGAAGTTAATGCCAACTTTTGGGGTTAGAGGGTGTCGCATGGTCAGCGCAACGGATTCTCACAGCCATTAAACTCAGTTTTCAAGACCCAACAGTGTTACATAATCTTAGCAATTGAATGAATCATTAAATAAACTAAGAATATTCAAGATAAGAAAACAATACAGGAGTCAAACAAGTGATTATACTGTAGTCTAAGTGATTATGTTCTAGAGTATTGGCATTGTTTCCTAAACCAAATGGTTCTGAGGCTCACCTTCCTCCAAAGGTGCATGTGACCATACTGTCATCTAGTGTAGGAGCTTTTTCTTTGCTTCTAATTCCCACACTTGGTATCTATATACTACCACAGTCAATAAGTTCGTGGACTAACCGCAAAGTGTCATTGCAGTGCACTACAGCGGATACGTTGAGGCACAATATGTGCCCTGTCAGTTCATCTCTCGTCACAGCAAGAGGCAGTTGCATGCAAACAGTGTAAGCAGAACTACAACCTCTATTGTGAACTGCAGTTAAATGCAAGTGGCAGAAATTGAAAATGTGGCAGTTTGAACAATGGGCAAACATAAAGTTCTGCCAGAAGCTAGGCAAGTCCCATAGCAAAACGTTTGGCATAAGAAGAGTTGGCTGTTGCTACATGACAATGCACCTGCACAGTACTCTGTTCTTGTCCAAGAGGAACTGCAAGGCACCAGGTCATCGTTTTGCCACACCCTCCATACTCACCTGATCTTGCACCATGCGATTTCTTTCTCTTTCACTCCTTGAAGGCAAAGCTATGAAGTCATAGATTTCAGTCATCTGAGGAGGTCGTCTATGTCACAAGAGATGCCACACTGGAATTTCTTGCCAATATGTTTCAGCAACGTTTTCGGCAGCTATATCAATTTTGGAAGACTTGCATAGCGGCCAACGGCAACTATTTTGAGGGCCGATGTGGATCTGTGTAAGTGTATGTGAATACCTTGTAACATGATGCAATAAAGCCACAGTTCACGAACTTAATGACTGTACCATGTATAAGCTAATTACAGTGATATAAGGTGCTCTGGAAAGCCCTCATCCCAAGGTATGACCATCCATCAGCATAATCACATGTAGCAGCTGTCACCTGACTCACCCAAGGCCTGGACCATTGCTAATAAGGTCAAAAACTTGAGCTGGGTTCAAGAGCTGTTTGAAGCGTCGCAGAAACTTGACGCCTTGATTGTCTCCTGATTTGGAATTCACAAATACGAGCAATGGAGAGCAGCTCTGCAGCCTCACTGCTTCCCATGGTTCATCACTGCCTGCTAAACAGATTCACACTGTTTGTATCAAGGCTCCTCACTGTACCTACTGTGGCCTCAGGGATAACAGAGATGTACAAGGTATACGATGTCAAGCTCATCATCACTTTCTTTCAAAGTAACAAATGATTGATAATTTAATACAAAACAGCTACTAATCGATTAAAACATTTTGTCAGGATAGTGTCAAGGCCAGATTTGTTTTATTTTACCACAAGAACAGTGATGCATCCCCCAATACTGCAGTTGGAAAAGAAAAATGAGAACATTCACAATCATAGAAGCAGAAAGATTACGTATCCCTTATTTAACTTACTAGAAAGGTATAAACAGGGCGATGGTGGTGGTGGTGGTGGTGGTGGTACAAGCCAAATTACAGTTTTGTACATTTTAATAATTATGTTTCTAAATAGCAGATGAGAAGAAAGGCTTTGTGTCAAAGAAAGCAGGCCAAATTGCAACGGTTACAGGATCCAAGCGAGTTAAATGGAGATAATCCGAACAATATAAGACGTGAAACTAGAAGGCATTTCAGGGAAAAAAAGAGGGAATATCTGAAAGACAAAATTAACGAGCTTGCAATGAACAGTAAGAACAAGACTATTAGAGACCTGTATAGAGGAATAAATTACTTTAAGAGGGGTTACCAGCCTAGCAGTAACTTAGTGAAGGATGAGAATGGTGATCTGCTTGCAGATTCCCACAACATTTTGAATAGGTGGAGGAACTACTTCTCTCAGTTATTGAATGTATGTAGGGTCAGTGATGTTAGGCAGATAGAAATACATACAGCTGAGCCGTTAATACCTGATCCTAGCCCTTTTGAGGTTGAAAGTGCTATTGCAAAATTGAAATGGTATAAATTGCCAGGTAGTGATCAAATTTCGGCAGAACTTATTCAAGCAGGAGGCGAAATATTACATTCTAAGATCCACAATGTAATTACTTCTATTTGGCATAAGGAAAAATTGCCTGATCAGTGGAAGGGGTCTCTTATTGTACCAGTTCACAAGAGGGGTGATGAACCTGACTGTAGTAATTGTCAAGGGATATCACTGCTATCAACTTCATAAAAAATTATATCCTTCTCTCAAGGTTAAGCCCATATATAGATGAAATTATTGGAGANATACAGAAGGGTTTAAAACAAGGAGATGCTTTATCGCAACTCCTTTTCAACTTTGCCTTAGAATATGCCATTAGGAAGGTCCAGGAAAACCAGGTGGGACTGAAATTAAACGGGACACGTCAGCTGTTGGTCTACGCCGATGATGTGAATCTACTGGGTGATAATATAGATACCATAAAGAAAAACACACAAACTTTAATTGACACAAGTAAAGAGGTTGGTCTAGAAGTAAACACAGAGAAAACTAAGTATATGTTACTGTCTCATCACCAAAGTGCAGGGCTAAATCATGACATAAAGACAAGAAACAGATGTTTTGGAAATGTGGCACAGTTCAGATATTTGGGAAGAGTAACAGAATGATAACAGATCGAAACCTGATTTAGGAAGAAATTAAGAGGCGATTGAACTCGGATAATGCTTGCTACCATTCAGTCCAGAACCTTTTGTTTTCTTGTCTGTTGTCCAAAAACATAAAAATTAGAATATACAAAACTATTATTTTGCCTGTGGTTCTGTATGGGTGTGAAACTTCGTCTCTGACATTAAGGGAGGAACATAGAGTGAGGGTGTTTGAGAACAGGGTGTTGAGGAGAATAATTGGACCGAAGAGGGATGAAGTGACAGGAGGTTGGAGAAAACTGCATAATGAGGAGCGTCATAACTTGTACTCTTCTCCTAGTATAATTAGAATGATCAAGTCAAGGAGGATGAGGTTGGCAGGTCATGTAGCACGAATGGGGGAAACGAGGAATGCGTATAGGATATTGGTGGGAAACCCAGAAGGAAAGAGACCACAGGGAAGACCAAGGCATAGGTGGGTGGACAATATTAGAATGGAACTTAGAGAGATAGGATGGGATGGTATGGATTGGATAGATCTGGCTCAGGATAGGGACCAGTGGAGGGCTCTTGTGTACACGGTGATGAACCTTCGGGTTCCATAAAATGCTGGGAAATTCTTGAGTAGCTGCAGAATTGGCGGTTCTTCCTGAAAAGGCTCAGCTCCATGAGTAAGTAAGTAAGACGAGAAGAAAGATACTTCTGAGCTGAATAGTACCAAGCATTCATTGAATTTAATTTGCTTTCAGTTTCCTCATGATTCAAATTTTGATTTGTTATGGTCATTTTCAAACATAAAAACTTTGCCACCTTTTCTAACCATACAAAATTAAATAGTGTATGGTTGGAGTAGCCTCCAAAGGCATTAAGTTTTATCAGATTTTGTGAAAACTGATCAGTTTATTCAAATCTTAAGAACTGGATCTAACATGTGTACACACACAACACCAAGACAATTTCATAAGCTTCCTTAAGAAAGGAAAGCAGACTAAAAATAAAGTTTCAGATCACTCTGATGCCATTTAATCAGTGTAACTATGTCACACACTGTTAAAGTTATACAGAGTATTTCTCTCATCAAGAAATTCCAAGAAACATACCACTCCTGTGAAGGGCAATCGGGGGTACAACACTGACCCTGCAGGGACCCAGTGGGCAACGGATTGGGAGAAATGGACGACAAGCAGTGTGAACTGTAGCTCTGCACCACAGACAGCGCCAATCCTGCAGCCTAAAACACAGAACACTTTAATGCAGCACTGTTATTGTTTTCTGCTGGTCATTAAGCACCATGGAAACCAATTTACAGTACAAACTGACAATTGCAGAGGGATATTTTATTGTTCCTTAATTTTTTTTTTTTCATTCTGTTGTGTTTTATATTAGCTATCAGCGAAGTTATATTGTCATGTGTCAGAAGGTGACTATAGATTGGTTTGGATTGATGGCTTGATTTATTGTACACTTCGCTACAGTGCACAACTACATTTTACAGTTCACTATTACACATGTGTGCCTGCACCCGCATGCATGCATACACACGTGTCCATAGTCACATCTTCACTGTCATTGCTCAGTAGCAGCTTTCAACGGTGGATGGTCTCCTTCCACTGGGTTCATGAACTGCCCCAGCCTCAGTTACCAGCTTCTAACAGCAACAGCTCATAACGATTGAACTCCTGCAGTTCTCTACCTGACTGCAACTGAAAGCCCAAGTCAAAGTCAAAGTTACGTTATGATGTTTTGATCAGTTGGCCAGTCTGTCTTGGTGTTGAGCCACATCCGGGGTCCAAGACCAGATACTTTTGCTGTCAGGCAGCTGTGGGTTTATTCATGTGGGGCACCCTCCCTGACAAGAGAATGGGTCTGTCATTTACAATTGCTGCTGGCCCTCACCAGTGCCATCATATTTATTGCAGTCAAAATCACTACTATATGTAATTTATATTTACAATTTTACATGTCAGCATTCTACATAGTCAACTGTCAATAGTCTAGTTCCTCAAGGACACCTCATATTTACAGTTTCATAAATAACTCTAGCATATAGATATATACAGGGTGTCCCAGGAGGAATGGACCAAACTTCGGGAGGGTGTTCCTTATGTTAAAGTATGCCGATATAACCCAAAACACCTATGTCCAAAGTTGAACGGTTACGGAGATAATGGCCCGAGAAAAGTGTGGTCTTCTTGCAGGTCCACGCACTGTGGACAGTCAGCTGTGACTGTTATCTGTTTGTACTTGAGTGTGGTGATGTCACACTAGCCGTGATCTCATGC